TTCAGCATTTAGCTGCATTTTACGAAGCGTCGTATAGAATTTTAATCAAGACAGGGAAACCCAAGTAGTTAGCAGAAATAATTCTAAATGATATTTAAGTATTTGCTTATTCAGTTTTGATCTTTTATATAAATTTGCTGCTAAAATGGGATGCCTTGCCAAGCATTTCCCTGTAGTGTTTACTCGTCTTATTTGTATTAAGACCGTTTATTCCTGCTTTAATTTTTATAAGCTTATATGGAGGTGCGCACATTACTCGATTTTAGTTGTGCAACTAAACAGTTGAATTGGCCGCGAAACAATCGCAACAATTGTGCCATAGTTTAGTCAAAAGTGTGCTCTCGCTCTAAGTGTATTCTTTTAAACTAATTTAAATTAAATCGTTAAAAAAAATTGTCGGTCCCGTAACACAACCATAACAAGATGTACCCAAAACAAACACGTCAAGAGGTCATCCGTTACACAAAATGACATACAATCTGCACCATAGTGTTGCGCCGTGTCCGATAAATGTCAAATAGTGACGTGCTTTGAATCGACAAACCGACAACTATGGGACCATTTGAAATGTCCTTGTGGGAATCGAAAGCTAATGTTTTGTGTCGCAAGAGGCCCGTAACAACGATGCCCTGCGAATTTATTATCGGTTATGCCTTTATGTGTAAGTAAAACATAATACGATGTGTACACCGCTTGCGTTACTTGACACGTTTGAATTAGCCGCTCTGGGTGTAAATTGATGTCCCAACATCGATGTTTAATTGATACAATGACTTCCTACTACGCTTTGACATTTCTGTTTTAAAAAATAATTGTGACATTTGAATATTAAAAAAATGCAAAAAGCCAACATCACGCGGTGTTCCCAGGCGGTCACCCATCCAAGTACTGACCGCGCCCAACGTTGCTTAACTTCGGTGATCGGACGAGAACCGGTGTATTCAACGTGGTATGGACGTTGGCGAACATAGATGTTAACGTAAGTATCGTATTATGAACGAGATTATAATTGCATAAGCATTATTTAAATAATCAAAAAACCTTCTCGATTAACTTTACCCGAAATACTCCGATTAAAAACAATTGACATCTCACTTATGCACGGGAATAATACATTAAAAATATATCATGATCCATGATTATCTGGACGTAATCTCTACGGTTTTCTGCAAAATCTAGGAAACCGAAATTTCCAAAAAATAGGTCAAAACATGTAAGTAATTTTGGCAACCCTGAGCAATATCAAAGTCAACAAACCTTCGGGTGTTCGACCTTATAATGTTCGCGCACGTCGCGTCAACATGAACATACGTCTCCAAATACGTATAAAGCTAATAAACCTGGCCCCACAATACGTAAACTACAACTATTTTTATATCACACCTACGCATACCACCACCTAATATACCACCATACCACCTATACCACCTACGCATTTTCGATATAACATTATGATAAAAAAACAAACAATTTTTACATGTCTAATATCTTAAAAAAAATCTTGTGATTCTGTGTCATATATGGAAATTCATTATTTGCCCGACTCACAGTCATATAAATAGGACACTTGCGTAGGTGAGTCAAGCATATGTAGGTTTACTTAAAATCCGTTACACATATTCGAATAAGTTACAATAAGTTGGGAGACAAAACATAAAGTACGAAAATCAGGAATTCTTGTAGCTTATAATGGCAATTTGACTGCTTACAACTCCGCTCGATGACGTGATAGATATTTTTTTTTTATAATATAAGGTGACAAACGAGGAAGTGGTCACCTAAATCCAATGAAATGTCAAGCGACCGCTGCCCATAACATCTGCAATTGCAGATGCGTTGCCTACCCTTAATTTACGGAGGAGGAGACGCATATAAAGAGGACACTTCCCCTTCCTATGCGTCTCCTCCACCGTATAATCCACTTTTCCTTCCCATCCTTTCCTCTTTAGAAAACAGTGGAAAGGGAAAGGGACTAAAATTGGGCCTCCGGCACCACACTAATCAGACGAAACGCGAAATTGCTTCCACTTCACGCCTGTCTTCTGTGTGGTCGTGGTATTACACCGGGCGAGCCGACCCATTCGTGCGATGTTAAAGCGGGCTCTACCACTATTAAAACCACTGATAGTCACTTGTTTTAGCACCCAGGTAAATCAGGGGCTGGTCACTAGTATGTTAAACAAACCTATAGGTCCAATGTAAGCTATGCTATCAGTACACAGCTGCGGAGGAAATAATTTGCGGATGCGGCGTTCGATAAGCTACGAAACTGCAAACACCGACCTTATTATGTCCAATTGTGTGACTGAAATATAATTTAAGATAAACAATTTTAGGTCATGGCAAATATTATAAGATTAGAGACTGTATTTTACTAATCTTACTAATATTATAAATGCGAAATTTAGATGGATGGATGGATGGATGGATGTTTGTTAGAGTTTGTAGCCTAAACGGCTGAACGGATCTCCATGACATTAGGCACAGGTTTAAAGCATAGTCTGGAAGAACACATAGGCTACTTTTTATCCCGGAAATAGTTACGGTCCCCGTAGGATTAATTAATTTAGTTTTTTAATGTTCACTCGATCATTCTGCAACGGTTCAACATATCTTATTGAAATTTATCGCAGATATAAAACAAAGTCTGGAGTAAACGTGAGATAAGCTTCATCCCAGAGAAATATCCGGTTCCCGAGAGATACGTAGCTTTTTGTTATTTATATAGTTCATATGTTTTCTAGTACCACGCGGACGAAGTCGCAGACAACAGCTCGTTATTTTATAACCTTAAATTGCAAAATAAAATCCTAGCAATACATTTTTTTAGATTTAATTAGCCAGTTAGTAGGCATTGCAAATGACTTTCTCATACGTAAGAATTATATAAAAACAATTTGATATGATGTTCGTCATATTAATTACAAGTAGTGATGCAACATATGTACTTACACCGTTACAATTTCCTCTTCCTAAGGATCAATGCGAGATTTCCGCTCGGCATAGCAAAGGTCAATGACCTTACAATACACTGATTGAAATAAAGAATGGTAGATACAAATTATTTAAATAACCAATCTTCTATATCTATATCTATACTAATATTACAAAGAGGAATAGTTTGTATTTTCATATGTAGTAAAATAATTGTAAAATTACTGGGCCGATTCCAAAAAATCTTTTACCATTAAAAAGCTACATTGTCAATGAGTAACATAAGCTTTACTCTTTATTATTTCACTAGCTTTCGCCCGCGACTCCGTCCGTGTGGAATTAAAAAAAATATAAGTAAGTAACCTATGTGTTCTTCCAGACTATCCTCTACATCTATACCAAATTTCAGCGAAATCTGTCAAGCCGTTTAAGCTACAAACTCTAACAAACATCCATCCATCCATCTAAAATTTCGCATTTATAATATTACTATGATTTAATTTCACGCCTATCAAAATCTTCAGTGACAGCTTGTATTTGTATAATAACTAAATGTTTGTTTGATGAATTAAGATTTCTACTTGACGCTCTGTCAACGTAACAAAGTAATTTAGGGTTTTATCAACTCGCTCACCTGTTACATGGTTCAGTGAATAAAAAGATTGCCAGTTACTTTTATTTCTACTCCGAAAAAGGATACTAGCGGTAAATTGGTACTTGAAGTATATGGTAAGCCTTATTTCCTTTGGAATAGATAATTATCAACCAGATTCGCAAATAATTTACGTTTAGTTACCCGAAACAAGATTACTTAGTTAGTTCTGAATAATTGAAACCACGATAGTGATCTTCAATTACTTTTCTTCTAGTTTTATGAGTTTGTTGTATTTTTTATATTCCGAGGTCAATGAAACTCTGAAACGCAAGCAGTTTCAATAAATAACAATTTTGTATTGTGTTTCATCATTTGCTATAACAGAAAGAGGTACACAATTAGTTTATCTTTTTTACTTTGTTTTTTATTAATCATAGAAGTATGTTAATTGACCATTAACGAACCTAATTTGAATTTAGAACTTTGCAGATAATATCGAGAGCGTAATGAACCGATCATCGCGGAACAACTGCTACAAAATGGTAGGGAAAAGCTACATGACCGTGAAAAAAGATACAAATCGATTTTCACTATAAAATATTATGGCGTATTAATTGGTAGAAGCGTAAATCTTTGTGAATCTTTGTGTTTAGTCGCAGGCCTAACAATATCGATTTTGCAAAACTATTGAACGTCTTTTAGTCATATAACGCTCAACGTCATTAAACGTAAATAAATAACTTGGGAAAAAACGGTGGAGGCCGGACGGATTTATTGCTCAATACTGACAGACTTCGAGGGCGCGTTTGCATATTCTACTCACTTATTAATATTCAATGTAGTAATTTGCAGGTGCGTTATAGCATAGAAATTAATTCAAAGAAAATTAAAATACTTTTATTTATAATCGTTTAAAATACGTTTTATTGTTTGGTATTTTAATAAATTATGTAAAATGTATAAAATAAGAAAAATAAAGATATATGAATATAATGTAATATTATCGACATAATGTTGAATACTTATTGATGATTTGAACAGAACTGGTCAATGATTCAGGCTCGCCATTCGATCACGACAAGCACAAAATAAACAAGAGGTAAACTCGCAAAACTACTTTTCTACGCGCGAGCTATGCGGTAAAATGCTTACTGATGAGTCATCAGGAATGTAGTGCTTTGAGGAATACTTCGAAAGCGATGCACTATTTAAAACATATAAAGGTTTTTGTAACGGATTGGACTCAAATAAAAATTAGTACGATTCGTTAACTTTTAACCATGTATTAAGTCACAATCAATTGATATCATTTTGGAAATAACAATTAAGTTTGAGAGAAAATGCGTTTTTATTGATTTTGAGTAAAAAAACTCATTTTTTAATTTCATAAAAAATAGCAACTTTTAATTTCGTGTCTAAGAATAATTTACATTGGCAACACTTAATCCTATCGCCATTGTTGCTATGGCAATGCTGTCATAACAAATTAATTTAGGTTCGGCGTCAGATATTATTATTTTTTGGTTATTAATTCTTTGAACAAGCTCAAATCACAATGAGCCGATGGTTAGATGTGGAGGTTGGAACAGACGAAATAAATCTTAATACTTTGCCTTCAAATTTGGCTTTGGTTGATCTTCAGAATGATAACGAGTATAAGCTTCTAGTTGGAGATTTCGGGCGAGGAGAGGAAATGCCTAAACTTAAGGTAAATTATTTAAAAACTTTTCTTACAAGAAACGTTACCCCCGTCTTGTAATGTAAAACGCCAATAATTTACATAATGTTCTATCCTTTTGCAGATATTTAGAGGAGCAATGCAGATGTCCGATTTAGTGCTCCCTGATCTACCTCTAAGTGTAGTTGGCTTCTACACCAGTGAGGCAATGCCTCGTCCATGTCCTGTCATAGCAATAGCAATGAGTTCATGCATTTACATATATCGGAATATGAAACTGTTTTATAAATATTATCTACCTTCAGTGGAACAAAATAGTTGCGAATTAGAAATATGGAGACAGGTAAATACATTCTTAACTTTTTTTTTCTCTTTGATGTCTCTGAGAGATATTGAACAAATACTATACTCAAAGAGTAATAAGCGAAAAACATATTAACATATTGTACCTTCTCTTCTGTATAAACAAAAGATAGATAACAATTACTTCAGTGTATAAATTTTGGACATTAGAAATCCTTAATTTTATATGCATTACTTTGTTGGAACTAATAGAAAAGTTAAAAGTAGCCTATGTGTTCTTCCAAATCAGGCCATTTGGATATACATATTAACCAACATTAATCCATCAAATCAAACCCTTGTTATTATGATTTAATTTTTTTCAGTTAATAGATCCAATAAATCATAATGAAGAGTCTATTAAAGGTCTAACAGCAAGCCTGCAAGCGATACCACAGAAAGTGTTAAGCAAACAGTCTCACAACTTTTTAGATCTTGATTTTGAACAAAGAATAGAGTATCTAGAGCAGTTAACAGAGTTGCCAGTTAGAAAAAATGTTGAAATAGTTTGTATAACAACAATGAAAATTAATTCAATAGACAAACATGGTGTTAGTTGTCTGATTGTAGGAAGTGAGGAGGGAGAAATTATTATTTTAGATCCAAATACTTTCACACCTATGTCTGTGGTAAGTTTTTTTAAACTTATTCTTTCATACCATAACATGAATAATTTTCTCTGATGATTTTATTAGTAACTATAAACTATGTATACCATGAAATTGTGCAATTTTGCTAATAATAGAATCATTACTCAGGCAAAATTATGTGCAGTGAAGAATACACCATACCAAATTGTAGCGACAGGACTATACAATGTTGATTACAGACTGACTGTGGGCACCAGGTGTAAATTGACTTCTATCTGCACTGTCACAATGCTGAAATTCCACAATAGCACATATTTTTTAATTGTATTTTTTTGTGTAATACCCAAACAATATAATTTGGACACAGTATGCACTAGTATGCACCAAATACGACATCAAGATGTTTCTTTTTACATAACTGCATATATTTTATAGAAATTCAATTTAACTGTTATAATTTATTATTACATTTAGATACCATTCACTGCAACGCTAATAGTATTTTATTTTCTAATGAAAATGCACAGATTTGACTATTATTTGTTAAAATTATATTTACCATCAACAATAACAAAATCCTAATTATTGATTAACTTGAAAGTTGTCAATCAATATGCAGTGGGTCAAAGTGGTTGTTGGCTGTAGTCACTCTTAATTTTTTTTAAAACATCTGTGCCTCAGGGACAGGCATGAGAGATATGTGGGATTCTCCCATAAAGGGCATAACCCTCCTTCAATTATGTGGGACACCACAGTATCAAGTCGCGCCTAACTTAGGGTAATCTTAGGTAATTTAGAGATTTGAACCCTTGCTGGGGATGAGTGAGGTGATGATAATTTCTGATTTGTGAATAAAATGTTTCAGAGAAAAATCAGTATGTCTCCTGAAGAGAGAGTGGAAGGAAGGTCAATTGCTATTTAGTACCGATGAACATATAGTTGCTATTGAAGTGTCGCCCATAGACAATAGTATATTTGTTATATGTTGCAATAATACACTATCTTGTTATAGCAAAAAGGTATGTATTCCATACAAAGAATAATGGTATCATATATGATGAAATTATTTTTATATGTTAGTTTTTTCTCGCGACTTTGTCCGCGCATAATTGAAAAAAATATGCCCTATGTTACAGATAAAATACCTTTCTAATAGTGAAAGAATCTTTAAAATAGGCCCAGTAAAACTACTGGAATATTTGTATTTTTGTATGTATTTGATTCACGTTAAAACTAACGTGAATCAAATACATACAAAAATACAAATATTTCCTCTTCATAATTGTAGTATGGATTGACTTTATCAAAGTTCAATATAGAATATTACATATATTTATGTATAATGTTAGTAATATGTTGTTTGTCATATTTTACATATATATCCAATTAAATAAGTCAAATAGTCAATAAGTAACTAGGTTTTTTTTTTATTTTAAACTTCCCCAAAGTCAAAAAATAACCAGTATTTTTATTCTAGGGTAAAAAACAATGGTCAATAATTCTAGAGCATAGACCAGTAGCCCTAACTTTGGTACCTATCATGCATTTAGGTACCACTCTGGTTGCAGTCGCTCTTGCGTCGGGACATTTACATCTGTACGATGGAAAGTCACGCAGAGATATTATGTTTATAAAAGGTTTGTACCAGTATTATTAACTTGCTGTTACTCACGACTTGTCGGCATAAAAAAAATCCAATGTTACTCACTGGTAACGTAGCTTAAACGGTGAAAGAATTTTTGAAATCTCGTAATTTTTAAATGTGTTGAAAGTTTAGATGGATGGACGTTTGTTAGAGTTTGTATCTAGTCGTTAAAACGAATGAAAGTTCGGTACAGATGGAAAGGATAGTTTGGAACATAGGGTGCTCACTTCTGTTTCTTCAAATCCACGGAGTCGCGGGCGACAGCTAGTATATACTAAAATCCAAAAATACACATCCTTCCTCTTTATAATATTAGTATAGATTGCAACATTTAGAAGCTTTTCAGTAAAACTTGTCTGACTCGAAGGACCAAAGTGTTATTGTAATATTACTCTAATACTGTTTTTTTGTTCTAGGAGTGGTATCTGCAATGAAATTTGGACAACTCGGACAAGAGGAGAATGTATTTGTAATTGTAACAGCTAGTAAGTTATTTGTATAGTTAGAATTAAATTGAAATCAGGAATTATAAGAAACATAATTAAAAAAATTACTGTACTACTATTTACTGTACTAATGCATTTATTAAAAACAGTTTTAAAAACGTGAACTGTTTAAAATAAATCCATAGACAATGATATCAGCCAGTGACAATATTTTTTATTTCAATTGAATTCGAATAAAGAGTTTTTATAATAGTAAAAAGAAAAAAATGTACTTTATTCAGTGTTTTTTTTTCGTTTTGTTTTTTAATATTCTATGTTCTTAGATGGTAATCTAATGTTGAAAATACTAAAGAGAACAGCGGATTTTAACGCAGAAGCAAGTGCGGATGTAACCATTGATAATATCAGTTCAGAAAAACCTTGGCTGATACCTAAAAGATCTAAGTTATTCCTAGAACAGTCCGCTAGAGAACGAGAAAATGCTATCGGTAAGTTTTATAGTTTATTGCACTCAGAGACATTTAGTAGACCCTAAGTTCTACATTTTCAAATTAATTATTTCAGTATGAGAAATACAATGTAGAACTTTTTAAATAATTTATTCATTATTTTTAAATAAACAATCCTTTGTTGTAAATCTTGTTTATTAAATTGTTTTTTTTTTAAATTGCTATAATTTGATTCTATTGACATTTTCAGAAATGCATGAAACTTTTCAACACGAGTTAAATAGGCTAAGACTTTTGGCAGCTAAGACTCTTCTAGAAGTACATATTAAGTCTGATAATTCTATAGCGGTGGGGGCTCTAGAACCTATACGGCTTACTGCTGAGGTAATTAAGTTATTACTATCTACTTTTGTAATAATAAAAGTTTATTTTTTTTGTAGATGCGAAAGTTTAGACTTACGAATCTTGTTGAAATTCAACCTAGACTTAGAATATAACCTTTAAGAACACATATTACTAATCAACAATTTTAAATCCCTTGAGCGGAGTCGTGGGCGGCAGCTAGTATTTTTATAAAATTTTCTCTTAAATATGTTTGAAATTGAGACGCCTACGGTTTTTTAATAGCAATCTATCGCAAGCAAAAAAAAACATCAACGATGCCGATTTTTTTTTTCGAAAAAAAAGTGTTTTTTAGTACTTCTATTTTGAGATATTAAATATTTTTTTAGTTTAGTTTTATTATTATTTTTTATTAGTTTATCACACTGGACATTATCGAATTAATGGTTAAAGATCATATAATTGTTAAATTCAACAAAAAAATGAACTTATACCAGGTGGAAGGTCTAGGCCCCGTGTTTCGTGTGACCCTCATCTTGGAGAACAGGAGCAGGTCGCACGCAGCCGCCGGCCTCGCGCTGCTGCTGCTCGCCAACGAGAATAATTACAAGCTATATAGTCCTTACTTAAAGGTAAGAAACTACGGTAGAATCCTAAACTTGTAAATGGTTTGTTTGTACTGTTTTTATATTAAGAATTCTTAGCGAAGTGACCGCTATTGACACATTTTAATGGCAGAAAACAGGATAGAAATATGGTATTTCCCCCTTTTTTTATAATATAAGGTGGTAAACGAGCAAGCGGCTTGAATCCATCAAAATGGAAAGCGACAGCTGCACATAAACATCCGCAATCGCAGCGCTGCCTACCCTTCATTGACGGAGGAGACGCACATAAAAAGGACATTTCCTCTTCCTATAGTCTCCTCCTCCGTAAAATCTACCTCGCCTTTTTTTCTTATTTAAGGAAGACCTGCTTTTTTATAATAAATTAAGAATTTCTATAAACTGTGTTATTTCTTGGGAAATAAAATTCCATTTAGTGATTTTATATATTTTTAATCTTATCTTTAGCCACTAAATTAAAATTGGATAATTTTTATCCAACATTATCTGTAACGCCAGTATTATGATATTGTGAATAAACAGGAGTGTCTTAGAAATAATTTAAAATTTAATAAAAAAACCAACAAATTATTAACAAATTCCATACTTTATATAACTATAGTGTCTCCCTCTTCCTTCTTCTTTTATCGTAAAGCTTATAGTAAAAATTGTCTTTGTTCTTTTCAAAGATAATGAGCGGGAAAGCAACGTATACGAAATGTTCGTATATTCAGTTTTGAACGTTTAGTTTTGTAAAATATGGGTTTCTTATCACGATTGGGGTGTTTTAGCTCCCGATATTTTGCAGAGAAGAAATCTATATCTATCTATATTTTGTATATATTAAAATTGGAGTGTCTGTTTGTAATATAAAAAAAAAATCAGATTTCAAGAAAATTATATATTTGCGTTGCTGATAACGAAAATCGCATTTTTTTTTTTTTTGTCTGTCTGTCTGTCTATCTGTTTGTCTTTGCCGTGTTTGTTCCGAGCAATCTCCGAAACGGCTGCGCCGATTTCTACAAGACCTTCACTGTAGGGTAGCTGACATAGACATATTATAGGCTACTTTTTTTTATTCAGCGCTGTCAATGGCGTAACGGTTAGTCCAAATTTGCGCTAACGAAGTTTGCGGGCGACAGCTCTTAAATAAATATATATCGGGAGCTAAAACACCTAATCGTGGTAAGAAACTTGTATCTTACGACTATCATATATAGACAACTTATTTAATTGATACTGTTGCTTTTAACTCAGAGCAACATTTCTCGTCAAGACTCAAGTTGCGCGCCAATCTATCCATCCTTCTAGTGACATTGACAGCTGTCAGCTAGGGACGTGACGTTTACGCCGATAATCTAGAGTTGCGCCAATTCTATAGCACGGTACTAATGTTATTCCTAACAATACAGATTAAAGTTATGTAACTTGTAGGTTCCCCTCCTCGGTCCGAATACCCAACTACGTCTGCCAACAAAAGTGGAAGAGATATTCGATGAAAATATAAACCCTGAGGTATTCCTGCGGGGTGTCACTCACGAGGGCGGGCAGCGCGCCTTGCTCAAAGTCCTGCTATTAAAAGATGGGCAGCGTTCCCCCGCGCTCGCCGCCACCGTGCTCATGCCATCTACTGACCCCATCATGATACCTTATGACACACAAACTGACACCGCTTTCCAATAATAAAAAACTAAACTTTAATTTAAAAAAATGCACTTCAGAAAGTAGAAAGGTTTCTGTGATGTATGTAATTGTGTACATTAAAAATTACAAACGAACAAAAGTGTTTTATTTGTTGTATATTTATCTATATAATTCTCTTATCTATACTTCTATACTATTATAATAAAGCGTAAACACACACTTCTTTGTTCCCTAAGATGTCAGTAATAACAGCATATTATTGAATAATTCTTTTTTTTAAAAAAAGCCCAACACTAAGGTTACGCTTTAGGCTATATATTCACTTAAGGGGTAAATATTTTGTATAAAAACCCTAATGTGGGAAAGGACCATAAGTTGCTGCCAACATAAAGGAAGCAAGATTGTCAATGTTGGTCATGTCATGTCATTTTGACATTCGCTATCGATAATTTGACAGATGTAACAATGAAATAAAGTTTTCATAATTTCATGCGGATGAAGCCGCACGGGAACAGCTAGTCGTTAGATAATAATTTTATGATTGTTACACGTTGATATGATTTGTTTTATATATTTTCTTATCAATAAATAACGTTTTAATATAACTGGTTTTACTATTACATCCTAAAAATTAGACTGTAAGAACCTAAGTTTTAGGTGTAGAAAGGAAGACATTGTTTATTAGAAACATTGTTAATTCATGGCAATGCAATTATATTCACACAAGTAATTTTTTCTTAACTAGGTTACGCAAGCGACTTCGTCTGCGTGGTTTTGGAAAAAAAACAACAGAAGAAAATAACCAATGTGTTTTTCCAGACTGTCCTCTATCTATACCTATGCCAAATTTCATCAAGTTCCGTTCAGTTTAGGCTACAAACTCTAATAAATATCCATACATCTTTACTTACGCATTTAATATTAGTAAGATGAATATGTTCTGGCAGTTGCAATAAATTTGACGATACCAGATCTGCCGAAAGTATTTAAAAAGCTAATTTTTTTTCAGACGTAATATACGATTACTTCCTTGTCAGTCATATAGGCATGGGCATTGACAGCCAATATCTAGGTTAGATAAATGGGGATATCTCTACTAATATAAAGAGGAAAGATTTGTATTTTGTGATTTTTGTATGTATTGAAATAACTTAAAAACGATTGGGCCAATTTCAACAATTCTTTTACCATTAAAAAGCTACGTTTTTTTCAATTCTACGTAGACGAAGTCGTGAGCTACAGCTAGTCATTAACATGCCCATGCTTATTTACGTAGTAAATCCACAGCTTATACCCGGTATTAGATAATTTCGTCAATGTCACCTTGATAACAACTAAACCGGTACTGATCCTGGTATCGATTATAAATGAGGAAACCTTTTCAGGATTAAATTTAATATAGAACAAGGCTTGGAGCATTTAAGGAATTTTATTCAACACTATTAGTTCACGCCAACGACGTTTTAAAGTAACGCCAGTGGTGGAGAAATTGAGAAGCAAAAGGTTAGCATGGTATTGACGTGTTATGCGACGAGACTATGAGGACAAAAACCAGAAAGTGTTAAGACTGAATGTAGATGGAGATAGCAGAGGAAATCGGAAGAAAGTATGGATGGATTGTATGTAAAATATGTTTAAATAGGGAGTGGATTCAGATTCTGCCAAACCCTCTGTAGGGATAAGGGCAAGTTGATGACTATTATCTACGACGACGCCCTTAAAGTTACGCAATATAATACGTCAATACATTTTGAGTTCGAATACAGATAACATAATGCATTGTTTATCTAAAGTACATTATTGTGACATTGAGAATTATCATATTTGTTACTAGCAATACCCGGCACTCCGTCTGCATAGAATTAAAAAAAAAACAAAAACATGTAGCCTAAGTATTCTTCCATACTATCCTCTACATCTATGGTTTTCATCTAGATCTGTTTTAGGTGGCAAACTCTAATCATACATCCATCCAAACTTTCGCATTTATTAGTAAGATGTACGTATAAATTATAACACGGCTAAACTCACGTGATAACATTCGATGTAGGCACCGACAGTTTCGAACCCGTTAGGGGTCCTTCTTCAGACGGTCACCGTCGCGACGCGATAGCGAGTATACCCGATTAATCACTCACCCTGAAGAAGGACCCCCAACGGGTTCAAAACTGTCGGTGCCTACACCGAATGTTATCACGCGAGTTTAGCCGTGATATAATTTATGTAGTATAATGTCTCACGAAAGTTTTAATAAGTTAAGATGTACGTATATAAACGTAACATTGAGTAGAGTATAGTAAAAACCTTCAATTTCTAATAAGACCATTTGAATTTAATTGAAAATGTTCGTCACGGCAAATGACATTTCATAATTCCTTGTTTATAAACCGACGGGGTTCTAACATTGAAGAGACGCAAACTTTTGTATGGACAATGGACTATTTTATAAACATAAAATGAACTATGTGAATATTAAAACAAATTGAATAAGTTATTTGCACTAATAAATATAGTTAATACGTTGTTAGGTCGTTTATTTTTATAAAATTGTACTTTGAATACCAAAATGGGCTCAACAACCGCTAAAAATATGTGGCATAATATTTTCATCAAATAAACTTTTCAAATTTTTCACGTATCTTGCTCATTTTGTCTATGACATACGAATAATTGTCGAAAACTAGTAATTTATTGTGTTCATTTTTAAAATGTATAGAAAACGACTGGTTAAATAAGCTGTTTGTCGTGACTAAGATATAACCTTTGAAATAAATAATGTGTAATTCGACTCTCATTTTTGTAATTCAATGTCTTAATGTCCGTTAGCAACAAAATAATCAATCGATAAAATAAATTTAGCGTATAATTTGTTGAAAGCAGTCACTTATCATATTAGTATTAGGACATAGGTAGTGTTATATATTATTAACTAGCTATTCTCCCGACTTCATCCGGTTGGAATTATAGAAGCAAAGGCAAGTAATCTATACGTGTTCTTTCATACTATCCTCTATATTTTCCTTTCATCGAGATCCGTTAAGCAGTTTAGGCTGCAAACTCTAACAAGCATTCGTTAAACTTTCGCATTTTAATTGAGTAACTAATTAATTTTAAATTGTTCTTATAGTAACCAAATCAGCTTAACTGGTGGCTTCCTTAATTCCCTAAATAGGTGTAGGTTGAATTACTATGAGCAAATCCTCATGTAATGGATTAACTAAAACATTTTATTAGTGTACATTCGGTATCTAATCACAACAGCATTAACACGGTGTTGTGAAAGAGGTGCCACCCGAAAATAAATGCTTGAGTTGAAAGCAAACACTTGTAACGAATGTCCCAATTTTGATACGATAAAATTAGATAAATAAAATAAATCTTTGAAATATTTTATTCCCATTTTTGTTATTAACAAATTTCACTTTTCACTCGTTAGTCATTTGCGTACAGAAAAGTATAGTCTCCTGTAGTTTAAGTAGGGTTGTTACTCTACGATCTCTACTCTAGGGTTGTCTCTTCTGAGAGTATTTTACGGTACAGTAAAGTAAAAAAACTATAGGTTTATTCATGGTGTAGGAGAGACCAGGACCATACAGGAATGGTCACGTAAGGGTAGGACGTTGGTTTGTGGTTTTCAATGTTCCACTGTTCAGTTCCAACCGTGACAATGTAGGAACTTATTGCTTGTGTCGATATAATGGGAGGTAGTTTTTCCGCTCTTATCCCAGTTTCTTCGTTGCAATTTTTGTGGTCAACGGAATCGTTTGGCAACGCCCACGATGGATTATCTATTTTCATATCAAATTCTACTTAGTCTATTTTAGGGCTGTACGTTTGCTGCTAGCGGTCACTTATCGAGGTCCGTTTCGATATCTTATCGTGGTTATAAAGCGCTTATCAGCTCACCAATGATATCGGCTGCAATGAGTAATGTAATGCCGACTAAGCTTTCCTATTACAATCGTTTTATGGTTAAAGCGACAGTTAACTCAAACGTGGTACAATACGCGACAAAACATTGGTTTTTTTATGTATAAAATACTAGCTAATACTAATACTAGCTGTTGTCGCGACTTTGTCCTAGTGAACTTAAAATATAATAAAAGATATATAGCCTATGTTACCTTTGTAATTTTTAAAAGAATTTTTGAAATCAGTCCAGTAGTTTTTGAGTTATTTCAATACATACAAAAATCCATAAGTACAAATATTTCCTCTTTATAACATTTGTATAGATAAGCAGGTTTTTGGGAATACACTCTTATATTATCTACCATTCCAACTTGTGCTAGGAATGGTTTACGATAATCGGCAATTGGCGGGATTCGGATCCTGGACCACGTGATTGGAAATCAGTACCATTAACCGTTAGGCTATTGACGCTTTTCAATTGTTCAATATGTTCAATTTTTCAAATGGAACGGAAATCGTAGTTTCTTCTTGTAGAATTTCGTTTAGTTGTTTTATTGATAGGTATATTCTGTAGTTACTTAGAGATTCCCTTCTAATGTCTGGAACCACATAACACGATGGTGGATTAAGTTGCTATCACATGCTCAAGCAATAAAATTGGGATGATATTCCTCAGTTTAACGGTTAAACTTTTTTCGGACTTCATTATCTCGTCAAAGAATTGGTTACAACTTCTAATGTGATAGAGATAATGGGAATAACTAGCGTTATAACCCACTGTAACAAAAAATAGAGCAGAAACAAGTTTTCAGGTAAACGTAGCTATTGTGGACTACATTAAAACATAGAAGGATGTGTAACTAATATCTTGTTGTTTAAGAAATTATCTGCACTTAATCAGTTAGTTACTTAGTGCATTTGCTATTATAGCAGCTGATAAATACGACGCCAAGATAAATAATTCATTTGGACGTCGCTTTATCGCTATCCTTGTTAAATATTGATTACCTAACTGATAGAGCTGGCTTTATTAATACGTATTATTTTATGGTCTAATCAACTAACGTAAATAATAATAAATATAAACAATTATAAACTACATTGTTTTATATTTTAAGTGCATAGCAGAGTTGTGAAGCTGCAACCCTTATTATATATGATAAAAGAAATTAAAAAAAAGCCTACGTTATTCAGCGATAACGTAGCTTTCTAATGGTAAAAGAATTTTAAAAATCGGCCCATGAGTTTTTGAGTTATTTCAATACAAAAACACAGATCATTCCTTTATTAGTACAGATAAGAAATTTTCGCTAGGGGATAAGAAATTAATGAATCCGACTGCGACAATTTAACTACCATTTAGATAATAACATTTTCTTATTTGATCGTGATGTCTAAAAATATTGTTATTTACTAAATCACAATAAATCGCTTTATGATTAACTAGCTTTCGCAACTCCTGACGCGTGGAATTAAAAAACGAAAGTGAGTAGCCTATGTGTTCTTCCACACTATCCTCTACATATATACCAAATTTCAACGAAATACGTTCAGAAGTTTAGGCTACAAACTCTAACAAACATCCATCCATCCATCTAAACTTTCACATTTATAATATTAGTATGATGTCGCATCACGTCAGACATCAAGTGATATTTGACTGTTTTCTTTTGTTTTATGACTAGCTTTTGCCTGCGACTCCGTCAGCGTGGAATAAAAAAAACAAAAGTGAGTAGCCTATGTGTTCTCCTAGACTATCCTCTATATCTGTACTAAATTTAATCGAATTCGGTTCAGCCGTTTAGGCTACAAGCTCTAACAAACATCCATCCATCTAAACTTTCGCATTTATAATATTAGTATGATAAACTCACTGACGTAGAAACTACGAGATGTTACAAAGTTTTTCATAACATTTTATTAAAACAATGCTAAGGAAATCTCACGTTGGTTACGTCATCTCGTTTTTTTATCATTTGATTAACGTCACTGAATTTATTACTGAAAGCAAGGTTTGCACAAGTTTGTAAAAATAATAAATAATTTTATACTAGTAAGAAATATCTTAATAAATTTTGGAAATTAGAGAAAGACTGTGTATTTCCACTTTGATATCCAATTTTCATCTCATTTTAAATTATTTATTTGACCGACTTCTCAAAAGAAGGAGGTACTCGATTCGTCTGTATGTTTTTTTTTTTTTTTATCTACCTATAGCATAACAGAAACTGCTCGTGTTATGTTACCCGCCCATTATATGTCTGTGTTCCGCCACGACATAAATTATCATTTCTTACTGCATCTATTCGTCATCAATAGTAAAGCTTTTTCAAAAAGTTTAAGTATGGAATATCACATATTATCAGCATAAGCTAGGGGGGTCACTTTGGAGAATTTCCAATCGCTTTCTGATATGGTTTATCAGTGTTATGATAAAAAAGATTAACTTAAATACATTGTCGAAGTTAATATTAATAACTTAGACAAAGCTTGCAGTTAATTTAACATAGACTGGACTGAAATAAACACTGTTACTCCATGTGTTGGATTTTCGAAGAATCTAAAATTCTGTTTAAAGACTCAAAGAATTTGTAAGTTGTAAAATAACGTACATTATGGGCGATGTGCCGTCGTTTAGTCTCTTAGAGTATAGGATATAGTCCTTCTTATTTAGCTTAATCTACTTAGCAAAAGATGAATAATCATATCATACTAATCATACTAATATTACCAAAATTTAGATGGATGGATGGATGGATGTTAGAGTTTGTAGCCTAAACGTCTTAACGGATTTTGATGAAATTTGGTATAGATGTAGAGGATGGTCTGGAAGAACACATAGACTACTCACTGTTGTTTTTTTTAAATCTGCGCGGACGGAGTCGCGGGCGTAAGCTAGTTCTTTAAAAATATTACGTAATGCTACATAGATAATACTCTTGTTAACGAAGGATGACTTGAGTTTAGAGCTTTTGGTAATACTAGATATGTAGATATAAAGTACATTACTTATACTTGGATTTAAAATCTAAAGAGAACATATATTTATGTCCTGGGATATTTTTCTATGACATATCAGTGAAAATGACAATCAACCGAAGAACTACGATCTTTAAATAAATAAAAAAAAATTAATTACAATTGTAATTTAAATATTTTTCAGTCAAATATAATGATGGTCACATAACCACCAACAATCACACAATCATTGCATTTTGATATACATGAGGTTTATAATTTAGCGATTACACTCATTATATGACAGAATTGGTATCGGTTATCGCAGCGGCAACCCTATCGTAATCCACGTTCAATGATAAACATCGTGCCGCGAAAATTTAACCAGACACCGACTTCGAAAGAACTCAGTTTGTTTGTTGATTCCACTTCTGACCTACCCCCAGGTGAGTACGAACTTTATACGAGTATTTAGTATTATGTACTTGCTCAACTATTGTATCCTTGGTAAAATATCCAACTAATTTATTTCCAAATGTGATTTGTATTGGCTATTGGAAAATTAGAAACTGACCATAATTTGTGATTTACTCGTAAAATAGATTGCGAGATCCTCTTTTTTAATAATTAGCATCTCTTATTTCGTTATCAAATATTTACTTGTAATCTGTATTATTAATATTAAAAAGTAGATTTCGCCCGCGACTTCGTCCGAGTGGAATTACAAAAAACAAAAGTGCTCTACAAAACAAATATGCTCTACACCTATACCAAGTTACATCGAAATCCGTTCAGCCGTTTAGGATACAAACTCTAACATCCATCCATATAAACTTTCGTATTTATAATATTAGTAAGATGTACAAGTTTAAATAGATGGACGGATGCATGTTATAGTTTGCAGATTAAAACGTGCTAAACGGATCTCGATGAAATTTGACATAGATGTCGAGTAGTCTGGAAGAATACATACGTCACTATTTTTTTTATTCCCATCCGCTCATATACAGTATTTTTTATAAAATGTAATCAAAAACAAGACTGGTACATGGCCCTAATTTGTAAGCGTAGGATTTGTGTGCTTTATGTTAATTTTTTTTAAATCTATTCATTATTTACGTGGTTGATGTTAGAAGTCATATTGCGTAATTCGTATTCTCACAGACCTCTCAGATTCTATAGTGAACGTGAGAATAAATGTGTTTTAAATTGTTTTTGTTCTAAAAACAATGCGGAAACGAATTGTCGCCGGACACATTATGCGAATCAATAGTATCCGCTGTCAAACGGTCATTGACCCTTGTCATTGATCAAACATCTTACGTCATCAGGAATTAAATGCCTTTTTTTTCTATCCGTTAAAGAGCAAGTGCATCTTGATTGCCAGTTACTAGTGAAAGCAACCGTGACATTCATTAACAAATGTATATTTTGTTTCAGATACCATAAATTAGCCATGTCTCTCGACGAAGTAAGTATTCTTTGAACGCATTTTCTCATACGATAACGCTGTACCTAAAGTTCTGAATTGCGGTATATTGACCCAGAATACATCGTAGACCCGGTTTAAAACGGTTTTAAGTCATTTTCAACTTGGACTTTCGACCAGATTGTAAGATCCGTGATTCTCAGTCATTTAAGTTGTGACCGAAAAGCAGGTTTATTAAAAAATGATGGTCAGACGTTAAAAAACGTTTCCAGAATATAGTTAGTTAGAACAACAATTGAAAAAAAAAAAATTAAAATATTTTTCCTCTATTATTTTTTCGTATCGATTTATAATCAAACAAAACAATTCCACAATCAAAGAGATAATTTAAAGCTTATAATGTAATTACATTGCATCAAGGCCATTAGTTTATCCTTTGTTTGTTCTTGACAAAAAAAATATACATTATTAATATGCATAGACACTACAAACTTACTGATTATTATTAAACTGGCAAGTAAATAGTCTTTGCCAGTTTTTTTTCGCATAGATGATACCACAATGTGTTAATTTTGAATCCTTTTATACAGACTTGATAGATTTCTTTTTGTATTGACAGCAATTCAAGAAAGTGTCAGACACTGTAAGGAACTGGAAGACGAAGCCCAGTGACAATGAGAACCTCGCTCTGTACTCGCTTTACAAGCAGGCGGTGTTCGGAGATGTCAACATTTGTAAGTTGATTATTGCGTTTAATCTTACTAATATCATTAATGTGAAAGTTTAGATGGATGGATGGATGTTTGTTAGAGTTTGTAGCCTAAACGCTTGAATGGATTTCGATGAAATATGTCATAGTTGTAGAAGATAGACCGGAAGAACACATAGGCTATTCACTTTTGTTTTTTTCAATTCCACGCGGATGGAGTCTGAAGCGAAATCTAGTGTATCTTTCACTTTGCTAGTCGACCATCTACCGCCTTATACAGGGTGATTTTTAAGGGGTAGATCAATGGCTTCGTGGAGGTAAAGACCTCAATAGCTGTCAAAATCTGATTTTTCATATTTTGTTACAAAAAAGTAAATAAAATCAAAACCAAAGAAAATCGGGCAACAAACTATATAGATAGCTATTGAGGTCCTCTATCTACACAAAACCGTTGATCTGTCCGTTAAGAATCATCCTGTATAAATACAACAATAGTTTGATGGGAACAGATTCCTTGGACTAACTAACTGACCCATATTGCATGATGATGCAGAATTAGCTCCTCGTTGGATTATCTTATGGTACTAAACCGTTTGTTTGCTTGCTTTAGGTTAGATCCTTGATAGAATCGAATCAATGTTTGATTTACTTAAAAAATTTAATACTGGTATGAACTCGCGGCGTGTAAACACTCCGCTGATATGTACCTATACCAATTGAATAATACTATTATTATTTGTACTTTGGAATTATTAATAAAAGTAAATTAACATAATCTAAACAGCTGTCTTAAAAATAAATGTATTTTATTATCCTTGTCAACAGTTATTTGTATTTACGTCATAAAAAAGTCAGATGTATTCGATACATGCGTAAATTAATATGATTCTTATAAATATTTCAATCAGTAACTTTTTCCAGCTGAACCCAGCGGTATTGTAGAGAAGGCAAAGTGGAACGCATGGACCGGCCGCAAAGGCATCTCGCAAGACGACGCCAAGAAACAATACATCGAAATGGCTGAAAAGTTACATTCTAAATACGCATAAATTGTTTATTTATAAGATTAGATGTTACGTAATAAATTAATTTTAACTCAAATAGTCATTTTTTTTACTTTTTTGATTAAATTATATTCTGAAGAATGTCTTTGGCAAATAAAATTCTCTCAAATTGTTCGATTGGTTTTCATTTCGGTTAACTACGAGCATGGGCGTTGCTAAGGAATGTAGGAGGATGTCTCCCATCGAGTCCAAAAAATGTAAAATAGATATAAAACTACTTTGAATAAGACCATACTAATGATAGCTGCTCCCCCGACACCTACCTAAGAAAAAAATATCGTAGCTTACCCCCCCTCCCTAGATCTACATAAGAAACACAAAAATCCCTAAAAGTGTTCCAAGCATCAAAACTTTATGGCGGTTTGAGGTTAGCACGAACACGATGATTTCCCAAGCGAGAAAATCCAATAACTTCTATATATGTTACATACAGTAGCAATGCAGTTGGTGCAAAATTTCGAACCAGCATTAAGTTTAGAATTCAAATGGCACTGCATGTCCTTCGACCCGTACATATCCGTACGCCCGGCATAAGTGACATTGATGTTATCTCTATCTCTTCAAAGGTAATAACGGAGATGGCAATATGTTTCTGTGCAGTTGCCATTGCAGTGGAAAACCTCGGTCATAACAATGTTAATAAAAAAGGTTATACAATAGCTTAAAACTCTAAATATAGTTTTAAGGTAATTATAGTTAAAAAAAGTAAAGTGGATTTAGTCAGTGTTTAAATCCTAAAATACGTAATTGACGGACATAAAATAACTTAATAAAATCTTATTTGTAAATTAACTTTTGGACTAGGATAATTAGGTATGTCATAATTCGTAGGAGACCACGTCAGTAGTTTAGTAATCCAAGGCAGCTCGCCGAGCTGTTTTCTTCGAGCATTGCACGATTTATTTAGTCATCCACCGGAGCCGGTTTAAAGAGGACGTTCCGATTTACCCATTCTTGTAAGTTTGTGACGTGTGTCTTTTAAATTTAAAAACACTGTGTTATTGATATAACCTTAAGTGGTTTACAGCTTAAGCAATGTTATGTAAAATATTCCACTTTATAAAAAAATGAACTTGTTATGATTACAAAGTGATATCGTTTTTTTTTGTTCTAGGTTAGTTCGCTTATTTTGACACATCATGTCACTGCAAGAGGTATGTTTTTTTCTTTTTTTAAATATCGAAATGAATAAACAAATGATCAGTGAGTTAAATAATTAATTTAACCTTAAGTCGTCATTGAACTTATTTTTATGTATAAGAGTACTTTATAGTGAATGCTTTCACGAAAGTATTGAATAATAATTAGTTTAAAGTGAATTGAAAGTCATTGACACTCATAAAAATGTAAAATACATTGGAGAGAGTTTGCTTATTGGAACGTACCATTCAGTCAAGAGCATGAGTTTTTTTTACAACCCCACAGTTTGCTTTTCAAGGATACATTTGTTCCAATAGTGTATTGAGATATAGTTTTAGTAAAATAATTAATACTATTCTATGAAATTGTAATAAATAAATGATTACAGCAATTTGACCAAGCGGCAGCCAATGTAAGGAATTTAAAATCACTGCCAAGCGATGGGGACTTGCTAGAACTATATGCCCTGTTCAAACAAGCTTCAGTGGGAGATGCTGACCCTGCAAGTAAGTATTTGACAATTTTGTATTTAACTCAATGAAAATATTAGTAAAACATTTACTCCTACCCTGCACTACCAATAAAAACTAGAACGCCTTCATGTAATTTGTTTTTAAAATATTCAGGTCACTTACTGTGGTTACTATAACTGTTAAAAATGGTAGTTAAATTACCTACATACATGTGAATTTTTTATGCCTCTTATGGCTATTAACATACTTTCATGTAATTGAATGAAAAGTAGAACAATATGTTTGAAAACACTACTAGAATAGTAGTTTTCTTGCATTTTAAATAAACTATTTAAGGATAAAGACCAAGATGAGGGATTTGGAAAAACTCCAATTAGAATTGGGACATGATTTAGTTAAAAAAATCGATTGTATTCTAGAAAAACACAAAGTACATGTTTGGGTCTTTTAAAGTTAATAAAATAGTATAGTTAAGGGCTTTACTGTGACATATTCAATATTTTTGCCATTCCGAGACTTAGTCTTCTACCAACTATACAATAATATGTTTTAGTATTTTTTTTTAAACCAGCATCATAAATCAATATTTTGATACTGTATAGTTACAGTATATTTTTAATGATGCAGGTTCTGAATGAGCGGACTTCATAATATTTTAATAATGTCAGTATTTCATTATATACAATGAAATATTGACTTCCTCAAAGACAAGACAAGGATGCTTGTGTTTATGGTATTACCATAATTCTTCCCTTTATAAGCTATTGATGTAAAGGTTTTGGCCTTTTATTATTTTCCTCTGGATGTTTTCCTGTTTTTAAATCATGTAAGGGAAAAATAAATAAGGAAACTAGTCAAATTAACATTAACTATAGACTAAAGAATTATATTTGATGTCACAATTAATACAAAAAATTGAATATTATTTCACTTTACTTCAAGATTACTAACTTTGTTATTTGCTAGTTGTTGCGACATCTGCGTGTTACTGATAACATAGGTTTTTAATGGTAAAAGACTTTTTTGAAATCTGACCAGTAGTTTTTTTTTACAAATCATTCCTCTTCGTAATATTAGTATAGAAAATGTTAAATTTTTCTATCAATATGAAAAAAAAAATTAGACATCCAAATAGTATAAAAAATCGATGTCAAACACTTCGATAAAGATTGTTGCAAGGGGCTTTGATAAAAGACATTATCATGATGTCTTACCCTTGTCACGGTATTCTAAAGTACAAGATTGTATTGAAAATGCATTGTTCAAGTGCACTATGTACTTTCGAAGGCCCTTCTAGAACAATCCACCTTACATCAATGTTGCGACGTTGTTCACACGTATAACCTCCAATTTAACAATTATTACAGCCTTAATTGTCTATTTAATTACGCATATTAATATTTACGACTCAGATTATCCTCTACTAGGTATACTTTGAAATAGAATTTTTTGTGTGCCAGGAATTTTTTTCTGACATAAATTTGTCTTATGTTTTGCTAAGATATAAAAAAATATGACTCGAAGGACCATATTTTTCTTAATACGATGTATTTTTTGGAAATTGAATTTTTTCATCAATGAAATAAAAAAAAAAGTTTATGCATATTATTACTCAATTACATTATATACTAGACTTTTAAAATGTCTATTATGTAATCGGCGTAATGGTATATTTTAAATCTATACACGCGGTTATAAGTTAGGGGTCAAAGTATCAAGACGGTTGAACGTTAAGTAATACGCTAACGTAAAAGTACTTAGCATATAAGACAATGTCTGAGTTTTGTTATGACGCAATTCACGGGCCTCTATATACATACATTGTCCATTTTCATCATTATTAATAACATTTGAATTTAAGAGTTAAAATATTTATAGAACATATATTCTAAAAAATTAAAAAAAAAACTGTTTTTTTTTTTAAATAAAACTTTAAATAAAGTGATTTCTTGTTGATGTTTCAATTTAGCAAGATCAAAATATGCTAAGTTATGTATACTATTACAAATCAACACACACACGTTCAGTTTTTTCCACGAAAAACCTCTGTTTCTATAGACCGAACAAAAAGATGTTATCGTATATTTTTTTGTCCTTCATTCGTCATTCTTGACTCATGTTTTATGTCCGACTCGCTCAATTAGTACTATTTATCTTGTGTTAGCACTATCATGATCAAATCGGTAATGTACGAAAATTACTTTAAAATGTTCTTTTTTTAGTAGATATTGCCCTTCTGTAATGACCCTTGAACGTTTCCTTATGGCATAAATTATTAACTAATGAATTATTTAAGGTATATTTATTTAAAATCAATTTTGGAAAATCTTCAGTTGACCTTTGTCAAAATTGTGTTAAAAAAATTACAAGCCAACCCGAATACAGTTTTAAAATACCTCATTAAATATTCTTTTTCTCTTTTTACAGACAGACCCGGAATGTTTGACTTAAAGGGCAAAGCTAAATTCGACGCGTGGAGCAAAAAGAACGGCATGTCCAAGGAGGACGCGCAAAAGGCATACATCGCGAAAGTCGAAAGTCTGGTCGCTTCTATTGGACTCCAGTAATGGCCAACATTGGCCCACATGGCCAATATAACCAACATGTGGCCAGTATCTTAGTAAATGTTGGAGAGTTGATATGAGCGGATTGTGCAGAAGAAGAATCAAAAAAATCAACTTGACCTAAATTTTTTTTTTAATATTGTCTTCCATATTTTTTTTAAAGAATCATGTTTGTTATATTTTTTATGAATTTAAAATCTTGTTTTGATACTTTCGGGATGCCGTCCGCTTCATAAATATTTATTTCTCGGCTTAGGTTTAGGTTACAGGTGTAAGACATCACATTATTTAAGGATATAATTTTCGTCTACCTACAGCGGTGCTGTTGCATTTTTTATGCTGGTGTATTTTGTTATTTTCTTATACTGTATGAAAATAAAAAAAAACTTATAAAACCATAAACGTTGTTTATTTTTTTGACACTATTTTAAAGAAATTAAATACATTATATAGCTGAGAAGGGAACCGCGTAGGATGAGGATTCCATATAAAAAAATCAAGACCACAAAATATCGTTTGAATAACTTTTTTTGTGTTTTATAGGCCGTCTTCGTATTAAATAAAATACTTTTGATGTTACTCTATTTTAATTTTTTAACAGTACTGATATTTATGTGCTGTATATAAAGAAAATATTAATAATAATGTACAAATATCACAAAAAAACACGTGGAAAAATCTGTTCTACTAGTTTACTTCTTTAACCTCTAAAAGTTATTGCAATAAGACTTAAATTACGTTATCGTATATCTAATGTAAGTAACCAATAACACCGCAAGCGATGACTGGCCCTGAACTACCAGTTAGAGCGCTCTCTTCAGTCCCCGCCCTGCCGTAGTCATCCTCTCCCTTGGTTATAGCTAACGACCTGCCGACAATGGACCTAGGACCGGCTAGAGAAATCAATTCATCGATGATCTTGACATTTAAAGTCGCTCCCTCTTCCGCCTTAATGTTGCCCAGGTCGCCTACGTGACGGACTGGGTCCCGAGGACCACCGTGACGACCCTAGAAGGATAATGTATTTTAGACCCTAATATTTAAGATTCATAGCGCAACAGATTAAATACTTAATTTGAGTTTACTATATTGTACTAGGATTTAAGTTGGCATATCGGGTAGAAGAGAAACGGTCTAGGCGTGCCAATTCCCTTGTCTTCAACGGCGGACGACCCCTGAGCTGGTTGGACAAAAGTTTGACAAAATATATTAACATATTTTGTCAAGCTCTTGACTTGACCACGACTATGTGACCCTCCCCTAGCGCCAAAGCTGGATCCGCCCTTGCTTGTTTTGCTATACTTACATAATAAGCGATGTAGTGCGGTCCGATTTTTTTGCAATCTGTATCAATGTTCCCACTCTGGTGCACATGTAGGCCATGTAGGCCAGCAGAGAGACCGGTGATGTTACCCTGTATGGACACGGGGCCGTTGGGCGCCACCTGTGTGAAGATAAGTTCACCGCTAACGCCGGATTCCACGTCATCTTGCAGAAAAACTACCGCTTGTAAGCCAGGAGCTGATCTAGGTCCCTGTAAAATACGTTACTTGTTATTAGAAGTTTTACGGCAACAAAATTCAATTCAAAATGCTGTGCTTAGAGAAAAATGCCACAAAATCTACATGAAGGAACGTAAACGATTCTGCAGAGGTAAGCGAGGCTATTTTAAAAAGGACGATTGACATGTTAGAGGTATCCAATTATGAAGGTTTTGTTGAGGTAATTAATGATTACATCTTTAAATTATAATATAATGACATAGGACTAAACGAGCGATGTCCTTGGCACGTTTATAACCGCATATTGTAATGCATGCAAACGGAAGAAGTAATCTGCAATTAATTTTATTGTGTTGGCACTATGCTGTGACTAAGAATCATAAATATTGCATTGCACAAGCTTTCCTGCGTCTGAGTGTTAATTATCACGAGACTTGACATACAAACAGAAATTGTTTCTAACGCAAAACCACAAAACAAGAGACTCATATTTCTTTTTTTTTAAATAAGTAAATGTTTAAACCATCACAGGTTATTTTATAGTCTGTACCACAGATAATACAATACTATACTAATACAGTGAGGTTTTTGGCTTTCAATAAAAAGTCATTCTGTATATTGAATATTAGAACAAGTTTTTGTGACCCTTTCCGTACAAAAAGGTTATAGTTATTACCATTATTGCATGATTAAATATTTGCTATGTTTTTTTAGTATAATTACAAATTTAGTTTAAGTATGCGAATGCTTAATTAAACTGTTATCTACGCACGAATACAAGATTTGAATTATTTAATTACCGTTTTTTTAAGTAAGAATTAAAGGATATAATATTGATTTATATTTTTTACATCTTTGTTTTTTATCTGAAAAAATGCTATTAAAATATCTTGTAGTAACAATTTTTTTATTCTCGTGTATTAACGTACCCTGTACTAGGAATTAATCAAAGAAATCAAATTCAAATTTTAAACAGGGTTTCCGCTTTGGATTTTTTTTAAATACCACAAATGTTGAAATCCTATTAAACATATAAGCACATAATCTGTTTCTATTACATTTGTCCTCGACGAAAATCTATTGTAATAGAGACATATCGGACAATGACTTTAAGATTAAAGACAGGCAACAAACTACGATGCCGTATTTATAAAACAAGCGTGGGTTTTCACTAGCGTAACAATAATAGAAAAACATATTGCCATCTCTGTCATTTTCTCTGAAAAAACTCAAACACCGATATGTATTTATTTCCATGTTTTACCAGTAGAAACCTACGGTAAGGGTCGCCGGATCTTGATTATGCCACGCTTGGTTGACAACCTTGAAGTAAGTAGTATATCATGAATACATCGAATTGTTATCCGGGTGCAGTTATCATATAGCTGTTCCCATGCGACTTCATCCGCATAAAATTGTAAAAATTTTATTTCATTGTTCACAGTTGTCAAATTATCAATTGCAAATGTCAAAATTACATGACATGATATCAAACCATGGCAACCTTGCTTCCTTGATGTTGGCAACAACTTATGGTCTCTTTCACACATTAGGGTCTTTATCCAAAATATTTACATTTAAGTTTAACGGCGTGAAAATATATAGCCTAAAGCGTGACGTGAGTATAGGGCTTTTTATTAAAAACAAAGGGTTATTCGAAAACATGCTATGATTGCTGATTTTAGGCAACAAAGAAGTGTGTGTTTACGCTTTATTATATTAGTATATATTATATTATATTAGTATAGAGTATAGATTTTTAAACAAATACGAACTTAAGGCATTCGAACGTTCCTTATTCTGCGGACTGTCGTGGAGGAAGTGTGCGTCAATACATAGACGACTGAGAGTTATGTTTAAATTCGCCTTCATCGAAATGTCCAAGTAAAACTCCAAGAAAACAATTTGAAAATGAGCGCTTTAATCTAGGAGCCAGTGCTGACATTTTATGAAGGTAGTTTTTTATAATCGAAATATAGTAATTACCCCAGCGTTTAGTCTAACAATTCGAGCATGCTGCCATGTCACGACTATGTAAGTCTAGTCTATGGTTCCTAGTGTCATTGGCCATAAACGATGTACTTCGTGAGTAGACGAAGATCACTTCCTATTCAACTAATTAGACGTGTGTTTAGTCACGAAATATCCAAGGGTTCTATTATGAACATTTTCTGCGCCACCCATATTTTTTTCTCGTATCGTATCTGGTATACTTCTCTAGAGTCGTTTATTCTGGTCAGTCAAGTCAGAGGCACAATTTTCAGTTTTTTAACTATTCCAAGTAATGTCCACACCAAATCTTTGTTTTTTATATTAAGAGTATATTTAGTACTTCTTACTGCAACAAAATGTGGTATTTTTTGCACAAAATATGATCACGTATTAAGCATTCTGTTGCATTCTATTATCTTGATTGCATCAACCAAATTACGGATTACTTCGCAAATTAAAAATAAAATAACTTTACGTTTTCTTTTCCTTTATTCTGATTTCTTGTAATAATAAAAATACATTTATAGTGTTCAATAACTTCTAAATTATAAATAAAAAATGGGAAATCCTTTTGTTCCTTTTAGCAATGACCATTTCTGTTTAATATTGCTATTATAAAATTTACAGGCGCTAAGATTGTAACGGTTTATGGCAATCGGTTTTAAGTAAACATTAAATTATTGTCCGAAATCTAAATTAAAACTATTGTTAGACGAAAGATGTCCTCGGTTAAATCACAAGTCACCTGACTAAACAATATATTTTTGTATATTTCGGCAATAAAAATATATGCTTATTTAAAAACCGCAATAATTAAGATGTGAGATGTCGTGTTATTGTAGTCGCATAGTAGATGCTTTTACTAACCTACTTTACTTCATAGACAAACATTAATCAGCATACATATGTAAGTGTTTTTTCTATCATAGACTTATATAAAGTGGGTCATTGTAAATTATGATTTTTTTATGCACGAAGGATCCTATAGAAAGATAAAGTTAATTGAATTTGTTTTTATAAAAGACATTTTCGTTTTTTAACCGAACATATTGAATATTTAACAGGTGTACTCGTGACCTTGATATTTTGTATTGTGTGAAATTAACCGAGAAAAATCTTTGTCCCCTAAACTACGTATATTTTGTGCTACGATATTTTTTAATACTGGGTTGCTGAAGTTTCTATTATATCATTACCTAGTGGTTCATTAGTTTAGGTTGAACTAAATGTCGTAGTAGTAAAACTCGAGGTACGTAGTTCGGAAAAGCATTTCATGAAGTTATCGAACCAATGACAGTAACGAATGATTAAAAGTAGCAGGGGAAACTGGCCATTATTACGCTAAACGATAGAGATCTAAAAAAAGGGCCGGTTTCATAACTGGGCCCTAGCCGGGATTTCGTAGCGTCCTTATATGTGTTTATGCCTCCTTTATGTCAGTCGCCCTGGGCTCTATCTTGCCCTATCCTAATGCCGGCACTGCCTTAAAATCTTACTAATATTATAAATGCGAAAATTGAGACGGATAGATGATTGTTAGAATTTGTAGTCTAAACGGCTGATCGAATCTCGATGGAATTTGGCATGAATGTAGAGGATATTCCAAAGGAACAAGTGGGCTATTTGTTTTTCTTTGGTTTTAATTCTACGCGTAAGGATTCGTGTGCGAAAGCTAGTATATTATATTTTAGATCAGTACTCCAAAAATTAAATTTAAAAATTATCTCCTCTCCAAATAAAGAACTAAATTGAGTGATGTGACATAGTTTTTTGTTGCAACTTTAATGTGGGACAATGTCTACTTTGGTCGATTTTCTTTCTGTCTGTTGCTATGTTACTGGTGGTCAAAAATTGGAGCACTTCTCTTCGTAAATTCAATTGTTCATTTTTGTATTCACAAAAGCGATATGTACGAAGTATATCGGTTCAGAGACCCAGCTTGTACAAAAAATAATAGATCAACCGAGAATGGACACGTTCTAAGAAGTTCAAAAACCTATCACTTATTGGAGCAAAAAGTTTTAGCAAACGATGTTACAATATTTGTCTTATTGCTTTCATATGAACTACGGATCGCATTACGTCTGTTAAATAGATTTTACGTTTCCTTTTATTGAATTGTTATCGAAAGTTGACAAAATTGAATTTGTTAGAGAAAGTATTACGAATGTTTTTGTAGAAGATGGGTAAAGAGTTAGTTACAAAGCGTCTAATGTTTATTGCGAACTAATCAATGAAACGAGTGACATTAAACAAATGAAAGTGTCACATCTTTTGTAACAATTTTTGTGGAATGAAACTCTAAAAGTTAGGTTACAATTTTTGGCGGGAAAAGAAAAATGGGAGGAAAATTGAAGTTCAATTTAAAAACAAAAGAAATAATTATATTGTAATTATGTTTCTTGGGTATATTTTGCATTTTGAACAAGCGTGTTTCCTCTCTAATTAATTTGTTTCGTTCATGGAATTGCTAGTCATATAGACCATGTAAAAAATATTCGTTACGTTATGTCTGGATTTAAACAAACTCTCTGTTAGTAATAACTATCTAGAATGTCGTAACATTTTTATTGATACTTATACAATTTCCGAACACAAATAGTAAATTTTATGGTGCTTACATAATTTAAAAAGTTTGATATGTAAATATGTCCAAATACATCGCTATTTTCTTATTAAATATAGTACCTACGGATGTCCTGCTAATCTTCTTACACTTCGTAGTATGTTTCTAAGAATCAATAAAGAAACAATACGCATAATAACAAAAAAAAAACTTACATATAAAAATGGTTCCATGAAAACTTCATAAACATTGCTTTGCAAGTCTTCAATGGCTGGCAACGATTTTATTACAAGATTTCTACCATAGCCGGGGATTCCATGGATGGTTTTTCCATTAATAACTGCTATTACCCATATTTGGATAAGAAAAACGTGAAGACGAATATTCATGTTGAATTTTCTTAAACAATTATTGATTGGATCTATAAGGCAGAACTGCGGACAACTTTTGATTTAAAAAAAAACTAGAAGTAAATTTTGACAGCGCGTGTCGTCTACGCAAATGGCGGGCTGTCAATGATTTTGATACACAGCAAAGAGCTCGAAGTGGTGTTTTTATTCGTGTAATGGACGCGTAAAACGTTCGTACATCTGTTTGTCATCGCTCGATCTTCGTGAGGAGCCAAGGCTTCGTAATTGAGAAGCGTGAATGGACACGGCATTGTGTAATCCATAGGAAGAAATTAAATATTTAAAACCTGCCTTTTAATGTTTTTATGTATGTTTAATTTATTTACAAATAAATTATAACCTAAGAGATACATTAAGAAAGTAAAAAAAAGTCGCTATGTGAAATATGAGTAACTTAACCAAGGACTGATAAGTTAGAAAGGAAATATTTTTTACTTAGAAAATAAAGTACAACATTTAAGTTGTAAAATCGATATCTATAATCGGAAAGTTGAACAATAGATTTAAAAATCTTTGAAGTCACAAATTGACATTTCCTGTCATACACGACACACGCATACTTCAAATATCTTCAAATACATTTAGACAACAACATAAAACTCGTAAACATAAGCAATGGAGTAACCAGTGGGCGATGAACCGGGACTTCATCTACAACTACCAGGATGACGGGCCTAACACGTGGTCGAGGATCGGTAGCACGCTCAACAAATGGCTGTGGGGCGCGCTTTGCTGCGGCATACCGGGCGTGCCTTGTTACTTCTGTACCTGCTGTAAGCAGCTCGACACCATGACTGAGAGAGAACGCCCCAGAGTAAACCGTAAGTTACATTGAAGCTTTAAGTAGCAAAAGAACTAATTATCAAGTATTACAAAGTGTACATACTGCCGCTCACAGAGTCCTTTAGTGTAGATTTCCTTTACATAAAGGAAACTCCGATAGACCATTTAACTTGTGGAACAAAGAAATTATGATACTAGCATAAGACACTAATTTGTTGATATGTTTGAATTTTAACTCAGCAAAAGCGATGCGCCTTTATCTTGCGAAATATTTCTCTGAATACTATTTAACAATTCAATCTATAGGATTTGGTGGAACTACTTTCTCCGAGGTGTGTAACTTAGAGGTCTCTTGTAGAAGCGACAGGAACCGCAGAGCGCCTGTCCCGTCAGCATCGGCCGAACGCACCGCGCAGCAGGAAAGCGACTCCGGAGACGCTGTCGGCGGTGCGGTGCGCGTTGTCGCAACTACAGGGCGAGCCAGCACCCGTACCACCTCTCCCGCTGCCCGTAGACCACCGCACCCAGGACCCCGGCTGATCGTGCACCCAGCGATACGATACTTTGTAAGATTAATATTTAAATGTTATATAAACGTACATTTCTTAATTTTAGTATGTGTTTTTTTGTAAATAAATGGTAATTTCAATAACTTGGACAATAAAACGACTTTTTTTTTTACTCCTGCTGAATAAAATCCGCAATAATTCAAAGTCGACTAAATACAACAGACATGTGGAAGCAGGCCTTATTCGATTTGTATGATTTAACACTTTGTTTATTAATGAAATTACAGACAGGAAAATAAATATCATATGTGTAGTAATTTACACGTGTTTTAAAAGAGAGTAAATTATTTTTACTAACATTTTAATTTTAAACCAATTTCAATAGGACGTTTATATTAAGTTTCGATGTCGCCAACGTCCATACCACGTTGAATACACCGGTTCTCGTCCGATCACCGAAGTTAAGCAACGTCGGGCGCGGTCAGTACTTGGATGGGTGACCGCCTGGGAACACCGCGTGATGTTGGCTTTTTTGCAATTATGCTAAATCTTTTTTTAATGTAGTATCTTTTTAATTATGAGACATCTATAAATACTATTTGAGATTACAATAAACTGATTTAATTCAATTACATTTACTAGTTCTCAATGCTAACAAAAGATGGCGCTTTTTCCATTTTTGCTAAACAAATTATGACTAAAAACGACCAATCAATCTTGTAACAAAACTGAAAACTTTGTGATTATACACATACCAGCTACAGTATCAACTACTACTCCACGTAACGAAAAAAATAAATAATAAAAAAATTGTAAAAAGTCATTGACAGATGGAATTACCTTGATGTATTAGTTTCAAATAAATATTACAAACGCAATTAGAATCGTTACCATTAGATTTTTACAATAAAACACGTATTGTTGTCCCTGTTTATTTTAATTAGTGTGAGAGAGATAGCAATAAGTTCAGTACAAGTACTTCGGCAATGAGCACTCATAGATCAGCGACTGAATCAACATCCATTATCTCGCAATCTGTTTCATGGTGCATATTTTAGTCTGTGCATGTCTTGCCGCGGTGACAGACTATTTTTTTTTAATTTGTGACAAAAGTGTTGTAAAGCCAGGATATTGGTAAGTTTTTTTTCATTAGTAAATATTTAAATATCGCATATTGTATTGAAATCTAATTAGGTATTAAAAATACTTCTTTTATAGTAATTTTGTTTATTGTGTAGTGATAACCATAAAAAGGTAAGTTAATGTTTTAATTTTGGTTTTAAAAGTTATTTTACTCGTAAGTTTTTTTACGATCTAATTGTTTTATTTTTTTAAATCGATGTTATAATCGTGCTGAATATTAATTACACGTTTTTTTTAAAAATAATTATCTCTAATGATAAATGTTCGAAGATTTTTAATTTAAAATCTTGTCTATAATCGTTTTCCGCTTGGTTGCTTTGAAATATTACGGCGGGATTCCACTGCGGTAACAACTGTTTACAAACATTTGCTATCTCTGTTTTTACTAAGACAATAAAAGGAATGGCAGTTTATTTTTGTACTGGTATTCTGACTGTGGAAACCAAAGGTAAAGCCAGTAATTGTTAGTTTACAGTTATTTACATAAAAAAACAAGTTTCGTACACAAGATGTTACTTATAACGAAATTTTTTTTTTTTATTTTGTCTATCTGTCCTCCTTTTGTTCTATAATCTCAGAAACGGCTAAACAGAATCACAATTTTACTAACAGTTTATGTGTGAGGAGGGAGGTTGAGGTATGGTTTTTTTCTCGGTGACGCAGTCGCGGGCAACCACTAGTTAAACAAAATACAATCCTTGTTATAAGACGATTGTTATGAACCATTGTAACTGCTCTGAACAGATTAAACAATAACCTTGTTAACGGGACGTTAAAGTGAACATGATATTACGTTGTACGAATAACAAGTGCTTATGTATCGAATTGAGCGTTCGCACACCTGAAACTAAATTATCGCATAACTATTTAGTCTTGCTTCGATTCCTATAAGCTTACTGTTCCCATGCGGCTTCATCCGCATGGAATAATAAAAACTTTATTTTATTGTTAACATGTGTCAAATTATCAATTGCAAATGTCAAAATGACATGACATGATGACAAAGCATGGCAACCTTGCTTCCTTGATGTTGGCAGTAACTTATGGTCTCTTTCCCACATTAGGGATTTTATCCAAAATGTTTACCCCCTAAGTTTAATGGCGTGATAATATATAGCCTAAAGCGTGACGTAAGTGTAGGGCTTTTTTATTAAAGAAAGAATTATTCAAAATTATGCTATAATTGCTGACATCTTAGGCAACAAAGAAGTGTGTGTTTACGCTTTATTATAATAGTATAGATACTGCATTAAAGTATTGAAGCAATTGCTATGAGGCAATTGTACACCGCCTGAGGACGTTGATATTGAACTTTGAAGAATAATTAGATCAAGGTGTACCACCATCAGAACGCTGCGACTTGTTAAAAGTAAGTGTCTTTATTGATATAGTAGCAATAAGGTCATATAGTAATATTAATAAATACTATTGCACGATTTTATAATATTTAAAAAAAATCTATGCGATCATTGACTTAAAAGGTTCGATGATGTTGGGCTATGAATAATTAGTCGTCCTAATTTGTAAATTAAAACAGTGAACACTAAAAAAAGGACTTTCAACAGTTGTTTTGGTGTTAGTGCTTTCTGCATCAATTCAGTATCGCAAATTAAAAAGCGCCTGGACATTAAAAATAGTTATATTTATTTGCTACATTTTGAAAGGCAAATTTTACTTTTCAATATATTTTTTATAGTAATTTTTTTGTAGTTCTACTTGTATATTACTCGGTAGAAAATTGATATGCATATTACCAACTATCGGTACCAAATGAAACATAATGTACCTCGTCCGTTGATAATCGCTAAATTGTTACAAATAACTTACGTGTGCAAATAAATTACGTACTAGTTTATCAATACGAATAAATTGCGAATATTTGAATACTAATAGAAACATAGACGTATAAAAATTTAAAAGATTATTATTATAACTACGTAACTATTATAAAATAGAAGATAATAACAACAAAGTATAAGGAAATCTCGAACGAAAATCACTTAAAATAATTTAAAAATGTAAAAAAACCTTAGATTTACTATGATTTTTAAGGTTCTAATCGTGTAATACTAATAATTTAATAATGATGAAATAATTGATAAACATTCAATTTAGGTACTAAACTATTTAATAACTAGCTGTTGCTCGCAACTTCGCCCGCTTGAAATAAAAAAAAAAATATAGCCTATGCTACTCACAGATAAATTACCTTTCTAACGGTGAAAGATTTTTTAAAATCGGCCCAGTAGTATTTAAGTTATTTCAATATATACAAAAATAAAAATCTTTTCTCTTTATAATGTTAGTATAGATTACACAATTAGAATATGTCACTATTTGCATTAATAATATCTTTATACGCTTAACAATATAATGTATCTCAATAACAATGTTTTTTCCTTATATAAAGACAAAGCATAAACCATTGCACAACTTTTAAAAACATGTCGCCAACATTCGGGTGCATCGTCCAAGCAATTAAAACTAAATTTTCCATACCTTCGTGGACGAAACTTGTCCGAGCGTCCTTTAGAAGCTATTTACAAAGTAGCTACGCGAGATAAATAGCCCTCGTATATTATCATAGGTAATGTTTGATTGCTGCAAAGAAACCGGTTAACTCGTCCAATGTAACAAGAACCATTCCTCCTCTCTTAGATATACTAAGATTAGGTTGAAACGGGGAAGGATAGTATACCTCGATGGTTCATCTGTCGTTGGATGTTGCAATTGACTAGTGCATAGCATATTATGGCCATTAGTTTTATTTCGCGATCAGACTTCGTTGCGGTGAGTTGTGTTTGTTGATATATTTTTTATCGCTTTTATTGAACAGTGACGAGTACTTGAAGATAAATTCAAGGTCATTTATTGCTTTTTTGATACGCATAACAACTTTATAGTTAATCTTAATGTTATTGTTTGTTTAACATCTACTTTTATTTTAGGTTCTTTTGTGAAAATGTGAAATAAATTAAAACGCAATCATATGTTAAAAAAAATAATATACGCGGGAATAAGACTATCCTCTTTGTCAGTCGGGTATTAAGGATAAATCTAATGTTATTCCATACTAGATCTTTTCTTATTAATCTAAATAACTTTTAGTTTCTAGTTTACTCCCATAACACGCTTTATTTTACAAGAAAATTGATTCACCAGAACTCGCATAGAAACGTACGCATTACTTAGATATTATAACTGCGAAAGTTTAGATGGATGGATGTTTGATAGAGTTTGTAGCCTAAACGGCCCAACAGATCTTGATGAAATTTGGCACAGATGTAGATAGTCTGGAAAAACAAATAGGCTTACTTACTTTTTTTAAATTCACACGGGCGAGGTCACGGGTGATAGCTAGATAGGCTGCAAACTCTTTGCGTAATTTCCGTTTAGTTATTTCTAATTTTATCTTAAAATTTCGTTGTAAATTTACTTGTTTACTTCTAGCTTTTAATAATATAAAGACACGGTTTTCCCCCGATCCCAACGCTTGGTTTTATTCAATGTTATCACTCACTCTCGCACAAATCACTGCTTTGTATTTATTACATATAATATAGCCTATGTTACCCAACAACTTAGCTTTTTAATGGTAAAAGAATTTTTGAAATCGGCCCAATAGTTTTTGAATTGTTGAATAAATGTTCAAGACAAAGAACATTTTGATTACCCCAGAGTAAGGGATGCTAAACATTTTATAGAATTTCTAATAATATCCAGATTAAAGGTTAAATGAAGCTTTTAAATGTATTGCACCACAATCACTTATACTTATATTGTTATGAAATGAATAAAATGGTGTCAGAGCAGCATTTTGCTACACATTTGTGTTTCAAAGGCCAATATGCTCATTAAATTAAACGATAGAACGAAACTACAGACGTTTTCAAGTATACTGCACTGTCGTGGTATTAAGGAGTAACGACCTAAACTTAGGTCACCCTTGACTAAACTTACGTATATCTCCTTATTCGAATTTAGTTTTGGATTATTTAATAAATGCTGGCATATTCACAGTCGTAATGGACACTATACTGTACATTTAGTATGACAAAAACAACGCTAAGGACCTGCTTAATTTAATATTAAATGACTTTTAATACAAGAAGTAAATAATCATTGACCTAACTTTTAAACTACTGGACTGATTTCAAAAATTCTTTTACAATTAAAGTGCTATGTTATTACTAACATAGCCTATATTTTTTTTTTAAATTTAATTCTACGTGAACGTAGTCGCGAGCAACAGCTAGTCTTTTATATTTCTGTTGCAACTTTCTTGCATATTTATATTTATCAAGAAAGAGCTTATGAACAAAGTAAATAATTTTTTTATAAACGTATAAGCATCATATATAGACTTTCGCATGCCAAGAGTACACGTCACATTGACATCTGCGACCACCTGCATGTAATTAAGCGTAACTCAATGCAGAAAAGATCGAAGAAAACATAGTATAAAAAATTACTTATTTACTTAGTTAATTCTTACTAGACTACGTTTTTTTACTCAACATAAAGTTGGTTTCAAGTCTAATACATGTCCTAAGCTATCGACAAATCCATTATTAAAAAAAAACATTAACTTAACGATATGAAAAATGTTTCCAATCTATGACGTAATGTTGATGTTTTGTTTTTTATTTACGAAAGCAAGATAATTATTCTGCCACAATAACACTTAAGATAAATACAAAGTTTTGCTTGTTTTTATTTCATTATCCGTTTCGTAATTTAATTAATTACTGTCTAGAGTTTTTTTTATGAATATAATTGAAGCACCTTGTTATCAAGTAATTACTCTTTGATACTTTTAAGATAAAAGAAGCATTAGGAATGTCTAGAAGTGACATTAAATAAATGAAAGTACCCCAAGATTCTTTTCGTAAAATGTACTTGGATTTTACTTCCATATAATATCGCTTTGACGCAAAAGTTTATTTTTCATTGTACTAAATTTCTAGGACTATATTCTATTGTTACAGAATTATAACAAAATGCTGTTGATGTTGTTATTTACTTCTGCGGCGATCGTGTCTGCTCACCATGAACATGTATGTATGAATACATCTTTTAAAAACATTAAAAAATATCACGTGAGAAAAAAAAAGCTAAAAAACTTCTAGAATATGTAACTCTATGGCGTTATTTTAAAATATTAACTCGTTCACGATATTTCAAAAATTTATTCTTTTTTTAAATTTTCGAATTTATACATTCCAGCCAGCACAATATAAGGCGATAGCAAAGCTGACGCAGCCGAGTGGAGACGAGGTCCACGGTAATGTGACCTTCACTCAACTAGCTGACGGCAAAGTCCACGTTCAGGGTGCGATCGTGGGCCTTGCACCAGGACACTATGGCTTCCATGTCCATGAGAAGGGAGACATCTCTGGAGGATGTGGTACAACTGGATCTCATTACAACCCTCATCATGTTAGTGATTTTTATTATTATTTGTATACAGGTTGTTAATAGATTAATGGAAAAGGAATGCAAATAAAGTTTTAAGAAGTAGAAGGAAGTAAACTGTAGAAATGTCTAGAAGCTACTATTAACTAATGTCATGTTTGTCCTGATGTTTGGTTGATTTTTTTTATTTAGCGTATTTAGAAAACATTTAAAGTATTTAACAATGTGAATTCTAAAAAAGTTAAGTATAAATAAGCTTTAATTTTTGAATCATATTTTTCTAAGACTCTTTAAACATTTTATATATCACTTTCTAGAAGGACCATGGTCACCCCAACGACGAGAACCGTCACGTCGGTGACTTAGGCAACGTGGTCTTCGACGAGAACCGAGTCAGTGTTCTAGACTATGTGGACAGTGTGATCTGTCTGACCGGAGAATACTCTATCGTGGGCCGAGCTGTGGTCCTTCACGAAAAGGCAGATGACTTTGGCAGGAGTGACCATCCTGATTCCAGGAAGACCGGGAACGCCGGAGGTCGGGTGGCCTGCGGTGTCATCGGAATCTTGTAGGCAGATCACTTTAGATGTAGAGCGTACGCACACTTTTGACTAAACTTTCGCACAACTGTTGCAACTGTTTAGTTGCACAACTAAAATATTGTGCGAGGTGCGTATTGAGGTCCATATAAGCTCATAGGAATAAAGCGAGAGTAAACAGTTGTGCGAAAGTTTATTTTTAAGTATGCGCACAATCTTATCATATAAATAAGGACACAGATTTTAATACTCGTCATAGAATATAAAAAAAACAAACCAATTTAATTATTCTGTAAACCTTTTATAAAAAACCTTAGAATTAAATGATAAATACCTAAAAAATAAATTGCCTTTTGCGCTACATTTTATACTATATTACCTGCACCTTATAGTTACTACACCCATAGAAGCTGTAATAAATTCATATAAACCAAGACTGGCGTTGACCTACATAGGAACACGTTTACTTTGTTAGTTAAGGCAATAACTTAATGTATGAGGCTGCATAGAATAGATGTTTGTAACTACAAAACGTAAACGTAATAAATTTACGTACAATAACAGAAAAAAATCGATATTGACATCGATATATTTAAGAGTTTTAGGTCTCGATCACTCGCATATCGATAGGTAATAATTAAAAATTGCTCGATTACTTTCTAAGTTAACCGAATATTAAAAATTAAATCACACATAAAACGAAGAAATCAAAGATTTTTCTAAACTACTACTGTTGTATTTTACCAAAAAGGATATCTTTAAATTTAAACTATTAGATGTGGTAAGTTAGCACGGCACAACTGCTTCTATGATAATCCTCGACATTGGATTGGTTGTCTCTGTTTTCACAAAGGTAATGAAAGGGATGTCAATATGATTTTATACAAATTCTTCGGCAAATAAACTCATAATGCATTCACACCTCAAGGTGAGGCGTCGAATGTGTAAGTAACGAAAACCTTTCACAATAATTTAATCTGCATAGACCATCTAATGGCCAGTTTCCCAGCTGCATTTAACCATTCGTTAGTGCTTTGTTAGATAGCTTTATGAAATGCGTTTCCGACGTACGTTACTTTTACTCCGTTGTTACTTCGGTCAACCAAACATTGATAAACCGCTAGGCAATGATGAAATAAATGGAAACTTCAGAAACCCAGCATAAGTGGAGATGATTATTTAAACTACATGCAGATGAACGAATAGTTTTAAAGATTAATAATGATTCTATACCATAGATCTTTGAGACAGTAACTAAGGTGTTATCAATGGACTCAAACAATTTCAAATCACGAGCGCCTCAAGCATATTATTGGATGAAATTCAGTAAAATCAACAGACTAAATACATGGTAAATGAAACAAATCATTGTCTTATCTTCCTGACCCTTTTTGTCAGTATTCTTACCTTTTTTTATCTTGCGACGGTGATATTAAAATGAGCAACAAAAATGTTTATCCGAATATCTGATATCACATCTTCATATCTCGATATAGGCAACGTACGTGATACAATATTTACTTGAATATTCTCTTACTTATATTAAAAATGCGGATTGATAGTCTTATGGATATTTGTCAGAGTTTGTAGCCAAAATTGCTGAACAGATCTCGATGAAATTTGACATAGATGTAGAGGATATTCTGGTAAACACAGAGGCTTATTTAAATACCGTAAGTTATTAACAAATCAAAGTTTATGTATAGGCTACAAACACTCTTAGGTTACATCTACAGGCTCTCTAAAGCTACAGTTCTCTGGCTTAAGCTACAGTATGCAATAACGGCGCCATAAGAGTCATTACCTTTGTTGGTTGTAGCAACTCTGTTATTCCTTTTCAGAGATCCTGTTGAGGGCTGGCAAAGAAACAGCTCTGCGAATTCTAGAAACTCTCTGGTCCTCATCTTCACGTCTATGGTTTATTTTTTTATCAAGCACTTAATTTAAAGTAATAAAAAAAAACTATTGTTGTTACTTAAACTGTATAGTGTTGTATAATTTAGTTGTCTTGTTATTTGTTTGGTTTTAATTTAGTTGATGTAAAATAGAATGTAAATGACAAGAGTTTAGTTAAGATATTTTTATACGATGTAAGTAGTGTTTAAACCTTTTTGTAAATATTGTTTTAAGGTACTGATTACTTATGTAAAGTTACCTGTGTATTTTTAATCAAGTAGTTTGATTATATGTAGAACTTACTTCACTAATTAATTTGTTATAAGATATAACTTGTTGTGAAATAAATTTCTCTAGAATATGTTACCTAAATCGAAAATCAAATAAATTATTATTTGTTGTCGCTAAACTAAATTTTATTTTCACATACATTTTCAGGTCTTGCAATAGATATCTTACTTCTTATCTTACTAATATTATAAATGTGAAAGTTTAGGTGGATGGATGGATGTTTGTTAGAGGTTGTAGCCTAAACGGCTGAACGGATTTCGATGAAATTTGGCATAGATGTAGAGGGTAGTCTGGAAGAACCCATAGGTTATTCAGTTTTGTTTTTTCAATTCCACGCGAAAAGCGAAAGCTAGTTACTTAAATAAAAAACACAAAGGACGAAATACCATAACTTCCATATGTAGGCACCATATATATTTGTCGCTAATTATGGAAAAAAAAGAAAAAATGTTTATTTATATAATAATAGAAAAAAGGAATTCATTAATGTAATAAGGAATACGCAACCAAAAGAATAAAAAAAAACAGAAAAGCGAAAAAAGACACAAAATGTGCAAAAAAGAGTTAGGATCAAGAGTCCGTAGATGTTGAATAAAAAAAAGCCCATAACTTTGCGATTGAAAACCTACAATCCAGTCAAGGTTCGCTAGATATTCCAGTAATATATGGCGACGCCCACACTATTGGGATAAGAAAAGCGATGAGGGAGAAAATTAAGAATAAAATGTCTCACTGTATAATTTTCTTGTATCGATTTAACTTCAATAGAATCTCTTTAATTATTCATAGCTATAACTTCCCCATACATGTGTCTGTTCTCATCAAATAACTAATGAAGATCTATATTTACAGAACCGATTTGCGGAAAATTCAGCTTTAACTAAACAAAGTTAAAGTTCAGAATTGTTTAAATGTTCTTTAAATGGTTATAGGCATATGAAGGGAATAGACATAATTTATGGCTTTTCAGTAAATATTACTAAGTTGTTTGAAGTAGTCGTGTCCTAAATATTGATGTCAAGATGATGTGCGATTGGGCATCTGTCGGCAAGATATGCGCGAAATGGCTGCTTTTCGTTTTAAATGGATTATGTATTGTATGTTCTAACAACATTTTATTTAATCTTAAAATTTAATAAATCACTACTTGAAATGTGGAAAAGAGCAAATTAAGCGATCAGTGGGAACGCTTTAACACTAGGTTTTTGTACTGCTTCAGATAGTTTTATTGTTTTTTTTAATTGCTGTTTTTGTACAAGAAATGAAAATAGTATTTTAAAGGGATTAAGGGTTTCCAAAGAAAAATTTATATAACTTCAGTATGATAAAATGTAGTTGTTATATTTGAAATCATGATAAATAGGAATTTAACGGCCAAATACTGAAAACGAATTTTAAATCTAAAGTGCCGCTTACAATCTGATAGTTGTCAAAATTCGGAGTTTAAGGGGCTGTTCTTCAAAATTGCGCATCTTTGGAAGCATAGAACAGGATTTCTACAAAGATTTGATTGGTGATATTTTAGTATGTATAACTTCAGTCCTTTAACTAAAGGCTCGTGGAACAGAATCACGATTGGACAAACTTTTCTCGATAAATATATTTTTTGGAAATGTGCCTAATTCTGTAAAAATTACCATACATATATATGCAATACTACAACGAAAATAAAAATTCGAAGTGGTTTATTTGATACACGAGTACTTTATTATTGTAAAGTTAAAAAAAAGTTGCGTTATCATTTAAGACGTTGTTACATGTTTAAAGGATGTTTTAGTATTAATTAATTTTGAAGCTAATTCTTTTTAACAGCTGATAGCAGTTGGCACCACTATATTTGCGATAGTAGACATAAAGGTGCTAAATAAATACGGTGATGGTGCAGGCCATGGGACACAGTCTGGAGACACACTTATTATAATTGTCTGCTTGTTGCTGTTTGCTGTAGCGGTGTTCGGCTGCATTGGTACTGCTAAAGAGAATGTTAAGATCCTTTGTCTGGTAAGTCTTTTGACGTACCTATTGACTTCGACCCTTAATTTGAATTCAGAACAAGGGAGAGAGAAACAGAGGTCTGTAGTCTCTGCAATAACATATCATCAAATAATGTAAGAATGGGAAATATGGTACGACCGTATTTATATGGAAACTAGCTGTTGCTCGCGATTTCGACCGCGTGAAATTAAAAAATAATAAAAAAAATAAAGCCTATGTTACTCGCAGATAAATTACCGTACTAACGGTAAAAAAAATTAAAACCAGCCCAGTAGTTTCCAATTATTTCAATACATACAATAAATCTTTTTATCTTTATAATATTAGTATATTATAGATACATTTTCAAACTCTGGATTCACAAAATTTTTAGATTTTCTGTAAAATTCTCTAAAATTCCTGATTCCTCATCTACAATGGAGCATTTTTGGGTGTTTCTTTTAGTACGTAGGTTTCCTGATGCTGTTCCTGGTGGTAGAGCTATTGGTGGCTGTGTACGTCGCCGTGCAGAGGTACGGCCTCGAGTTCAGAGTCTCCGAGTCAATGCGCAACCAATTCTTCCGAAACTTTACAACCGAAGAATTGGCTCAACATAAGAAGATTTGGGATGACATGCAGATAACAGTCAGTTTCTATATTACCTTAAAAATCAAAATACGTATCCATTCCGAATTGGATATAGAAAACAAAATTAATTTGTTAAAACTGTCTTAAGTTTTTGCCGTATACAAATACTAAGGCGCTTTTCATAATACAATACTTTTCGACAATTCATATCTTAACTTTGTTCAGTATGAATGCTGTGGTTTGAATGGTCCAGAAGACTACCAAGCTATCCGGCAGCCGATCAGCATATCTTGCTGTCCACGAGCATTCCGCGCGAAGACGGATTACGCTCGGCATCAGTTTTATCAAACGTGTCTGGAGTAAGACTTGAATATCTATTAAAAAAACGTTTACATTCGGTATTATCTGTTTTTTGATGACTGTAAATTCCACAGATCAAAGAGTTACTTCAACGTGGGCTGTGAGGATGAAATCCTGCAGGAGATCAGAGCTGACGAGGACTGGCTGATAGGGGTCACCATCATCTCATCATGGTTTCAGGTGACTTACTTAGTTAACAGCCCTGTATTCCTGTATTAACTTAATAAGCATCTTTGATTTTATAATAGCCTTTTAACACACTGATTCTTGTTGTTATTCAACTGCCTTAGAGTCGATTAATGTTTACTAATAACCGTCAAATAGAAGAGAACATTTAATTACCTTATATTATGTACGACTCTTACTTAACCAGCAGTTAAATAAGTTTGATGATTTTTAAATTTACCAGCCACCTGAGACAAAGCAACATTCGATTATCGTTGGAACTGACAAACATTTGATAAGGCACGTGCTTGTCACGTATTCTTTCTTATACATTTTGACACATATTGTCGATTCTACAAACGACATCGCTAATCGAAAGTCACTTTGTCTAGGGGTCTTTTCTATTATGTAAGTACGCAAGACCTAATTAGTATTATTTACAGGCTGCACAAGTGTTAGCTGCTATGTGGCTATCTCAAATGACGAAACGAGAGGCACAATTCAAACAACAAACGCTAAGACATTAACTCAAGCATCTCAACATATTATTGCACCAATGTTTTGATCTAATTGTCAATAAATAATGTGTTTAATAAATAAACACCGTACATTACCTTTTATTTTTTTAATGATAATTCTTCCCTATGTTATAAGTTGTTGCCCGTACTTCGTCCACGCAATATTAAGATAAAGTAGCCTATAATATGCCCATCTATGTCAGCTATCCTTCAGTAAAAGTCCGGTCGAAAAATATGAAAATTTTTCAACATATATTGCTGATGGAAACAGTACTAACTATAATCTTCAATGTACATATCAAATCAGGAGAGGTTATTTATTTCTGTATAAATGCTTTTTGCCATGTTCTTACTTAATAATTAAATTCGCATCTCTTTTTAACGTTCTTTCTCCAGTAAAATAATAGACTGATGAATATAAGTACCATAATTTATTTGTATCACAAAAGGTTTTTAATACACGCATGGTTTATATTTCTTGGTTACCAGTAACCAATCACACCGCAGGCGACATGGTCACCAGCATTCCCGGTCGTCTTAGAGTCAGGATGCTCGGTCTTGCCGTAGTCATCAGCCATAGAGTGGAGGACGATAGCTCTGCCGACAATGGAGTAGGGTCCTGACAGCTTGATCACGTGGTCCCAGAAGTCTACGTTAGCCACTTGGTCCTTATTGAAGACCACGTTGCCCAGGTCACCGGCGTGACGTTCCTCGTCGTGTGGGTGGCCGTGCTCTTTCTGTATAAAAACGATATATTAAAAATTTGAAAACTGTGAGATAGTGTAAAGAAGGTAATCTGGTATGTTAATACTAATATGTAAATATTAGCTTTCGCCCGCGACTCCGTCCGCGGAGAAAAAAAATGTGAGAAGCCTATGTTCTTCCAGACGATCCTCTACATTTACACCAAATTTCATCGAAATCCGTTCAGCCGTTTAGGCTACAAACTCTAACAAAGATCCATCCATCCATCTAAATTTTCGCATTTATAATATTAGTATGAGCGAAGAAATTCAAAAGATACATATGTGTTACGTCAACCCGCACTTGGCAAGCGTGGTTGACTATGACCTAGTCACCCTAACTTAGGATAGGCTCCGAGGCCCTCGGTGGGGACGTGTAGTGAGCTGCTGCTGCTCATGATGATGTAAACATGATAATGTGGGATAGATGGATATTTATATAAGCGCTGTTAAACTTACATTATCAGGATTGAAGTGTCCCCCATTAGAGCCGCATCCTCCGGTGACGTCCCCTTTTTCGTAGATATGGAAGCCGTACTCTCCCTCGGGCATGCCCACGATCACACCTTGGATATGGACCTTACCGTTAGCATCCTGGACGAAGGTCACGTTACCGCGAACCTTTCCACCATTTGGCTCCTCCAGTTTGACAATCGCACGCAGTTGATCGGATTTCTCTGACTGGAAAATGGAATTCACTTATAGATTAAGTTGTCTAAGTGATATTAGGATCAAGTTAGGGCGTACGCCTGAAACTAAACTATCGCACAACTGTTTAGTCTTGCATTGGTTCCTATGAGCTTCTATGGAGGTGCACACACTACTAGATTTTTGTTGTGCAACTAAACAGTTGAATGGGGTGCGAAACATAAGACAACTGCACAACAGTTATGTAAAATTTTAGTCTAAGGCCCACTTTTAAAAAGAAACAATGCCACAGTGAAATTGTACTATGTTCAAATATTTTTGTCTATGTTTTCTTAAAAAGAAAGAAAGAGATGGAAATAAAGAGATAATTTAGAAGTATTATGTGGTAAAGAGAGACTTACTTGATTATGGCTGTGACTGTGGTCATGACCACCGTGCGCTGCCACCGCGACCACCACAGATGCTATCAGCAATAAACACTTCATTTTTCTTAAATTTTCTGTGAATAAAACAATAAGATTTAATTTTTTATAAAACTTTTATCAATATTACGTTATTACTATTTCGTGAAAAAGTTGCAAATATTAAACTAAAAATTCAATGATATTTTTAATTAAAAAAAACATCACAATATGTTTATTTACTTCTTAAGCATCCTTTAAAGGTTGTATGCAAAGACGATAAACAAAATCGTAGCGGTCAAACGATTAATAATTCTGTTACTTGTTTTTCTTAACATATTTTTTAATGTCGGAAAATAAGAGCGTACACGACTCACCTTCACGACTTCGTATCGCTAATGATGTAACTGATCCGAGAGCAGAATATATACTAAAGATGCGAACAAAAAAAGATGCGTTTTATTGCATAGATACATTTGGGGTATTTCCCTCGGTATACCTAATTGTCTGGGAGAGCTTGACATAATACTTCGTGACCGGTTATTTAATCAGATACTATCAGGGAATATGGCGGTGGGGTTTCTTGCGGTTATAGAACACTACTTTAAAATGTGTGTAAGAAAAAAGGATTTTCAGCGGTATGGTAATTGTTTTTTTTTTATTATTGTTCTCCCGTCGTTTTTGCTAATTACTGATACCTAATTGATTATTTGTAAGAAGGGGAGTTTTACTAATTGCGAGGAACGAGGTGTTTTACTATAAACGGAACACTGCGTATTTCAGCGACTGTATTTACATTTATTGGAGGAAAATCTCTTTTCAATTGTACAATTTGAAGTAACTACATTTATTGTGGAAAGTTTGGATGTTATACACTGGAAAGGTATGTTTATTTGGGATTTTAGTTGTGTTTATTTAATGACTGAAGGTTATACGATACTCAGAATAAGGTGGCTGAACCGTTCATGGATTTATTTTTCACTAATAATAATAAAGTGGACAAACTTCACATTTTACCTGAGTTATCTAAAATTTGGAATGTTTAAGTAATTTTTGAATCCAAATAATCGTAACGTATTCATTCTTTTGTTTTGTATAAATTAAATTTCTTTTATTTCATTTACAGTTTTATGTCAGTGGCAACTTATTATGTTCACTGTAATTAGTTTAAAAGTATACAATAAAATATCAATTAAGTTTATGATCTATTAGGAATTCCATATTGCTTAATTATCTGTAGCTTAATTAAGTTTTAATCGACAAAATGCGACGTGAATTTAAAGAAAGATGCGCTGAGCACAGAAAAATTAGAATCAGAAACAGGTTTATTGACCTAAAATAATTTGATACTTACAATTGTTATTGAAAGCAGAACTTAATATAAGAGCGTGCGTAGATATTTGACTAAACTGTCGCACAACTGTTGTGCGTTTGTCGATTGTTTCGCAGCCAAGTCAATTTCAGTAGTACGCACCTCCATATAAGCTTATAGGAATCAAAGCGAGACCAAACAGTTGTGCCATAATTTAGTCAAAGATGCGTTGTCTAAATGTGAAGGGATACATCGGGAGGAGTAGTATGATGGACTAGATATTCCCGTGCGGCTTCGTCCGCATGACATTATGAAAATTTTATTTTATCGTTCACATTTGTCAAATTATCAATAGCAAATGTCAAACTGACATGACATGACAAACCTTGGCAATCTTGTTTTCTCGATGTTGGCAACAGTTTATGGTCACTTTCCCACATTAGGGTTTTTATCCAAAATATTTACCCCCTTAGTTTAATGGCGTGAAAATATATAGCCTAAAGCGTGACCTAAGTGTAGGGCTTTATTAAATAAAGAATTATTCAAAAATATACTGTAATTGCTGACGTCTTAGATAACAAAGAAGTGTGTGTTTACGCTTTATTATAATAGTATAGATATAGATTACTAAATATATTCAGTTAGTTACTAATTTTTTAATTAAGTAACGAGCAAAAATAGTTATTGATATTTTAATATCTAATCTACTGAACATATTCAGTTAACTACAGATAAGGCCTCAATTTTAAAAAGAAATTTACATACTAATTTATGTACAGTCATGATTTTCCTCAAACATAAGGAAGGTAAATTGTCAGTTGGAAAACCAAAGCACCTAGAGAGTAGATATAATGAATTAGACATGCCATAACGCTCATTTACCTACTACAGAACTAAGCATTCATAGACAGAATATCAGTCAATACAGTAACAAGACAACTTCAGCGATTAACCATAAATAACATTATATAAACATCTATGAGAAAAAACACACTTAATGTTCTTTTTTTTTTCGATAATATTTTCAGCGCCTCTAACGGTGAAATTATGAACTAAGTCACCTGTCTTCCCAAAATCACGTTTGAAATTACAGGGTTTTCTAATTTAAAAGCACTTGAGCGCCCTCTATTTTAACTAACACGCTTTTATGTCATCGTGTCTTAATGTTAATAATCGATTTCCTTTTTCTTGGAAAGTTTTTCTTTCGTTTCGTTTTTCTACTAAGGTCTAAAAGTGGATCTTTGTTGTTGTACAACAAACACGCTTAGAAGATAAAGAAGCGTCATATTTTATCCTTGTTTAATGCGATGTCCCACCAATTATTAAAAACCTAAAAAAAACCCTAATAACATTTAAAAACGTGTTCTTTGTCCTTTGCTTTAGGAATGACATTCAAAATTCAAAGTTTTTGTTTAATATAAATCACTGGCAACAAACAACTTTATGTGACCTGAATATAAATAAAAAAGATTGTAGGGGGTTTTAAAAAATGTCATCAACAACGTAAGATTAGATTCTTTTACTTTTAAAATATATTATATAAACTACATTGTCTATTGCCACTGTAGGAAACGCGCGGCTAAAATCTAAGTGGAAATAACATCTGAAAGCTACTCTTCATTATCAAGGATTTACGGATGTTTTTAAGATAAAAATACAGAGATATATAAATAAATTAATCGAGATTAATCTGAGATTACCTACTTTGTGTTGCCTACTTTTTGTTTTTTTAAAACGAGCAAATGAGGTAAAAACCATAAACAAAACCAACATTTGTAGATAGCAAAATGGCGCAGAGCAACTGCCACTTAATCTTCACGAACTAGAAAATGTTTTGTTTTATTATTTTGTTATTGTCTGCATTTAGTTTGTTTTTCCGACGACGAATTGACCGATTTTGTTGCATCATGTTTTTATATTTACATTCAAAGTTATTTAAAATACTTGATTAATATTATAGTAGTTTTTTAACTCTTCATTCCTTTTGAAACTTCATTGTAATAATTCAATTTTACTAAATTACGGGTGTAATGGAACCACAACCACCTGCATTCAATCAATACTTATCAATTAATCGTATCAAAATTACTTGCAATATAAAGCAAATTTAAAATTAAAGCGAATTACGGAACTTCGAACCTTAACAACAAACACATAAAGCTCTCACAATATGTAAAAAGATGTTAGTTGTTTAGAACATGACAATAAACCACAACATTGTAACTGCAGGTTCCGTTAATTAAAAATAGACTTTACTGCATGTAAAATAAAATTGATTATAACATTTTGTAGCAGACAAAGGAAAAGTAAAGCTACCCTTATGCGTGGGCATAAAAACATCTGTATTCTCATGTTCTATATTTTGTTCAAAGAGTAGTAATTTTAGTTAAAGTATCATCGACTATTTAAGTCGGGAATATTAAATTGTAATGGTGCTACCGTAGAAGTGAAGAACGCGGATAAAGATTCACTAATTTATCTCTCTGTTTTTTTTAAAAGGTAAAGAAAGGGATGACAACGTCAACTTAAGTGACAGTCAAATGTCTTGATGAGCCAACGGAACTCTGTGTACCCTCTTCTCGTTTTCTTCTATGCTTTGCTCTAAAATTTTGTTCTACACGACTTGCGTAATGTTAAGACCCGTCAAAATGTATGAAAACTATATTAGAGTGTCCGGATATGGAATCTGCCATAGAGTAGAACATCTTATCACAAACAATTGATTGCCATACACGGAGCGAAGTATGCAATCGCCTAAATAATGCCGTACAATCACTTGATGCGACCACTACCATTTTTTGAGTGTCCGTGTATGTCAGTCATAAGATGTCATAAAAGTTTTAGGTATTCGAGATTTATCCTGTTTCTATACAGAAGTTCAATAGCGCGAAATAATTTAATATCATTTACCTTATTGACGTGGTTGTAATTTAATTTGATCACTAAATTGATACGTATGACGTAATTAATTTAGATTTGGTTTTTTCCTGCTATTACCTATTAATTTGCATTTTACTTATTGTACTGTGTAAAAATGTGTATGTCCCATAATTTTGTCGTGTTGGTTTATCTCAATAAATAAATAAATGTGGGATAAGGAGGTTAAATATGTTTCATTTTTAATACTTTCCGAATTTTATATATTGACGTTTGTTTTGAAATAAGTTTTGGGTTGAGGGAAGGAAAAAAGAGGAACGACGATGTATGAACATGTGTTTTGGAAAAGGGTGTAAATATTTAACTTAGCATTAAATAACGAGTTTATTTTTATTTTATCGAGCCACAACTCAACATATATAAAATAGTTTCCTTATCGATACTCCAGCCTAGGTATAGGTGCGATACGATGTTACTATTCAGATCTCTTCGCCAAGGCAATTTGGGATACTTGAATCTTGAATCATTAGCATAGTAATGTGTTGTAAATATCACATTTTATGCACAGGTAACAATTATTCGCTAATCCACTAAATTTGAGGGATGCAAAATCATAGCGATTTTTTAGCTCTTTTTCTTCAGATAATCAAATTTAAAGAATTGATTCGATAACAGAGCGGTTAACCGCTCCGCTCATGACACAGTTCACACCCGACTGAGTGTATTGTCCATTCGTCATGTGATCGATAGCTCAGCACTCCCTGTCGGGTTTTCCATCACACCGCACACGACATCCACCATGAAGCCACTAAGTATCCGCTGCATGAAGTTCTTTCTTACATTGCTCAATATCTTGTTCATTGTAAGTTACTGGTATTCTTAGAAGCAGCATTCGAAGAGTATCTTCAATTAGGCTTGAGCTATTGCTAGAATATTCAGGATAGTCAGTTGTTACGATTTTTCTAGTCCCACATTCGTATGACACTTCTAGCAACTCAGAGGTTTGAGCACTTGACTTATAATCTCCAGGTGCTGGGTTCAAACCTCGTCATGCACCAATGTGATTTTCGATTTATCGATTTTCATATGTAGTTACATAATTTACCCGACATTCTTACGGTGAAGGAAAACATCGTGATGTCTGCACATATCGGCGAAGGAATTCAAAGATATGTGCGAAGTCAACCAATACGCACTAGGCCAGGTGGTGGACTAAGGCCTAGTCACCCTAACTTGGGAAGGTTCCGAGGCCCTTAGTGGGATCGTATAGTGAGCTTTTGATGATGTGATGAATAGTATAATTGTTGTTATAGTAAATGTTGGTACCAAAGTAGCTAACTAAATTTGATTATTTGGTTTTTTTTCTCAGTTGTTCGGGTTGGCATTGATCGCGGTGTCGGTGATGAACATGCGCGAGCGCAGAATCCGGCCTGAACAGTCCACTGTCTCTCGTGGAGTGCTGTCTTTCCTGTTGACTGTGGGTTTGGCGCTGCTTGTTGCGGCGGTGCTGGGCTGCGTCGGTGCACTTAGAGAAAATGTCAAGTTACTCTATGCGGTGAGTGTAGCAAGTAATGACGTTTGGGATTATTCCCAACCGTCACCCAGTTCTGTCCCCACGTGAGTATAAAAAGTTTAATCCATCCCACCTTTTAATCCCACTATCATCAATAAGGTGACCGATGGAACCGTTATGAAATAAAATAAGTTCCAACCGTCCCCACGTCGCAATAAATGGGACGGATGAAACTTTTTATTCTCATCTGTCTCCACGTGGGGAGAGAGCGGGGTCACGGTTGGGAATAATCTGACGTTTGCTGGGCGAACAATGATTGCAGAAACCGACATTTTGTTATGTAACACTGTGACGTTACTGACTTGCTTTTACCCTCTGTCAGTTTTGACAATCAAACATTGTTCTTGTAGCATGCATGTTTCTTCATCTTCCTGATACTGCTGGAAGCAGCTGTGGCAGTAGGCGGCGCACTAGTCAGTACGTGGGTCACAAGCGGCAATAGCCTTCGCGGACAATTTTTCAAGAACGCCACGATTGAGGACCAGACCACTCAAGCATATTGGGACCGTATCCAGGCAGAGGTGATGTTCATTTTATATAAGGGAATGTGTTATGGGATCTTAAATACTAGCAAAGGAGAGTTCACACATCTTTTAAATTATTGTGATCAATAGGATACGTAGATCACCAAATATCTATAGGAAAAAGGTCATGATGAGAATTTAGAATTAACTTAACTTCATTTTTCAGAACCAATGTTGCGGAGTAGATGGTCCACGAGACTACAAATCCCTCCAACGTGAAATACCAGCATCTTGTTGTCCTGAAGGATATCCTATAAAAGAGGGGGGAGCTAGGAAACATCTGCATGGTTCCTGTATCGCTGAACGAACGTACTATGCCAGAGGCTGTGAGAAGGTTTTGCTCCACAAGAAAGCTTACAAAGGCAACATCATCATTGTATCTGGTGTTGTTTTTATTATGTTCGAAGTAAGAATCATTTTTTATTTATTTTACGAGTACAACTGTTAGCAAGATACCTATAGTTACACACGCTCATTTTATCTAAACACTCCGACCATTGATATAATTTGAACGTGTAGGCAAAACTCAGATTTGAACTGATCAGATAAAACTAACGTGTGTAGCGGGCTTTACAAGCTTTAGTTCATTAAAACCAATAAAATATTTTTTTCTTTCTAGATTTTTTGCGTTTCGACGACAAAACGTTTTTTGACAGAGATATATTAGGGCCTGTCCCACCAAATTGTAAATTGTCTGATAACAATCCAACGTGTGAAATATGTGATGCAAATATCGGATTTTGTTCCCTTATCTGACAGTGACGTCATTTTTAAGCTCTCTGAGTCTCTATCAGTCAGTGGTGGGACAGGCCCTAAATATTTTATCTGCGACGTAGTTTGTATTACTGCCATTTTATTAATAATATTAGCATATTTCTTAATTTCAAATTACATTACCACGTAATGTCTATTTTCAGATTCTCTGCGAGTCCTTGGCGGTCTGGATGGCCAGGACGATTAAATCGGAGCGCAAAAGAATGCAACAAAACTTGCAAGCGCATTTCGAATCTTAGTATGAAGTCAAAGAGATTGAAACTAACGAATTTGGCAATTTAAATATATTTAAGTATGTTTACATAACCATAGAGTCGGGTGAATTCGCTGTAGGAACTCAGTAGTCGCACAATACCAGATATTAGGATAAAAAGTTACTTACCTTACTTAAAAATAGATTTTAGATTATTGATAAACTTTAATTAAATTAGTAGATAATAAATTCTTAGATTTAGGATAAACATTTTTTACAAGAAAAAAAATCGTATAAATTAACATTAGAAGTGTTGCAGTGATTCTAACAATATTGATAGAGAACAAAGTCGAAGTTAATCGTTTGAAAATTTCTATCCTTTGGTATATAGCTTCGGTGGAGGGAGCGTCGGTGGCTCAGTGGTTTAAGGAGCGTCGGTGGCTCAGTGGTTTGAACACTTGACTTGTAATCTACAGGTCTTGGGTTCGAATCCCGCCATGTACCAATGTGATTTTCGATTTTTCGAATTTTCATATGTACATAATTTACCCGATGTTCTTACGGTGAAGGAAAACATCGTGATGCAACCTGCACCTATCGGCGAAGAAATTCAAAGATATGTGTGAAGTCAACCAACCCGCACTCGGCCAGCGTGGTTGACTATGGCCTAGTCACTCCGTGTTAGGGTAGGCTTCGAGCCCCTCGGTGGGGACGTGTAGTGAGCTGATGATGATGATGATGATGATGGTATATAGCTTAGTTCTCATTGTGACTGTTTTAGCCGAAAGCATTAGGTTACTTCATTATCAATTACTTATTTCATTTCTAATTTTTATTTGTCTTACTTATCAATATTATAAATGGTTGGATGTTTGTTAGAAGGTATTTTCAGGACTGAACAGATTGCGTTGAAATTTCGCATACATGTAAAGCCTGGAAGAAGACAAAGGGTACTTATTTTTTTAATTCTGCACGGACCGTGTCGCTGGCAGCTAGTGTTTCTTAATGTAATGCTCTAGAATAGATATAAATTTTTAACATTTTTCTTACTAACTGTAAAAATGAAAGCTCTCAAACATAAGCTGCAATCTGTGATACGCCAGTAGTGTTAATATACGAAAATTGAACTTTTAAAACATAAACTTAGTTAACACAGATGTACCCACTATTTTTCATTCTTCAATATTTAAAATACATACATATTTTGTAATAATAAGCACTTTATTGTTGAAATAGATTAAGCACAGTGTAGATGTGACTATTCAATCTTACTATATTATAATTATATTGCGAAAGTTTAGATGGATGGATGTTTGTTAGAGTTTGTAGCCTAAACGGCTGAAAGGATTTCGATTAAATTTGGCATAGATGTAGAGAATAGTCTGGAAGAACACATAGGCTACTTGCATTTGTTTTTTTAATTCCGCGACTTGCTCGACTATGTTTATGTAATGTCGGCCATCTTGTATTTAAGGCGACATTGCCTTTTACTAGTGAAGTTTTTCATTTGTTACTCATAGTTGCGTGGTTGTACAAAAACATGTTACTAGTTTGTGACGGCGACCATTTTGAATTTTCCATAGTACACTGTAATTCGTCTAGTCAAGGTTTTAATACCCATGTTTATTAAGAATTTACTTAAGTGTTTTTGATAATATTCAACAAATATTTAATAGAAACTTGTGTTTTATTTTTTAATTCAATTAAGAAAATTGTACTTCTCGCAATTAATTAATGTTTTTTATATAATTTACGATTAATTTGTATTATGATATAAAAGTTAACTGCGGCGGTTTTGTAAAGGGACCAATACGTATAAGCATAGTACTAAATCTAAGTAATAATGAATTCAAACTTTAGTTACTTATTAATGCACCAAAAATGAAGGTTTCATTGAAAATAAACACACATCTGGAACACGAATAGTTTTTTTTATTTATTTAGTAAAATCTCTATCACATAACACTAATAAAATTTGATGAATTTTAATAATTAGTTTTTTTTTCAAATAGTTTTAAAAAAGTTCTAAATACATATAAAAATCATTTTCTTCATAGCTTTTAACATATAAACTTATAGACATAAATAAAATGCCGATTTTATACAATGGAAAATAAGCGTTGTAACTAGTATTAATAACAAAATACATAAGTAAGTAAAGTTAGTGATATACATAATTTCTTAAATAAAAAAAACAATTACAGCATAATATCCTGTATTAAAAAAATATATTGTGGTGGGACATGTAAAGCCTTACAAATAAACACAGCATAAATTTAAACTTAGTAATAAACTTAGTATAAGCAAAATTTGTACTAATAATTGCTTATATTCAGTTTATTTCTAAGTTTAAATTTATGCCGCGTTTATTTGTAAGGCTGGTACAGTTTAAAATTACTTTTGGTTAAAACTTGACTAGTTAGTTAAGCTTGAAAATACTATCGAAAAACATAATTCCCACAGCAGGGAGGCGTTTATCGGAAACTTAATCATAATCTATACTATTATAATAAAGCGTAAACACACACTTCTTTCTTGTCTAAGTTGTCAGCAATTACAGCATATTTTTGAATAATTCTTTTTTCAAAAAAGCCATAAACTTATGTCGCGCATTAGGCTATATATTTTCACGCCATTAAACTTAGGGGGTAAATATTTTGGATAAAAACCCTAATGTGGGAAAGAGACCATAAGTTGCTGCCAACATCAAGAAATTAAGATTGCCAAGTTTTGTCATGTTATGTCATTTTGACGTTTGCAATTGACAATTTGACAGATGTAAACAATAAAATAATTTTATGCTGATAAAATCGCATGGGAACAGCTAGTTAATAAGTATTAATTTTAAAAATCTAACATTTAAGTGCCGCTATTTTAATAAACTCTTCAGACGAAAACGTTATCCTAAAACCTCACAATGATTAACGATTTATCTAGAATATAACTAACATGGATGAAAATATCTTTATTTATAAAAATAGGCGAAATTTTACATTAAAGATATACAGCGTGTCCGGAAAAAACGTGACGTCACAAAACGTAACTTAATTCAACTTATCTCTATCCAAAGTTGCGTAGTTTATCCGCTAAAGGCTTTCAAAGTTTTTCTCGAAGAATCTTAAATCGATTTAACTCCCACTTCGTCATTAATTCCCGGACATCCTGTATATTCCTTAGTTTTAACTGTCTTATAAACGGAATATAAGTTAATAAACTAATTATTATTTTTTTATATTAAAACAGCATGTAGCCTCGACATATATCTAGGTCCTAGCGTTTTCTAAAATAAATTTATATATAATAATTATTAATAACAAACTTTTATTATTAAAATCTAACCTAAATTCAAATAAAAAGCACCTTATGAATCCAGTATTGCGTTAACAAAATAAATAACTAAGAAATAGAGAGATTTTCTTATTCTATTTAATTATAGTAAAAGTAAATTTTCAGTTTTTATTAATAAATAATTTTCAAAATTATAACTTATCTAGTTTAAAGACTAAATTACGATTTTTTTAACTTCACAACAATCTAATTGTGCATTAAATTGCATATTTACGGCATGTATTTATTAATTAATTTTTAATAAAAAAAAGTTAAAAAAAAACGAAAAAAAAAACATTAATTTAAACTAAACGTATGTGTTAAAAAATAATATCATTGAATAATTTTCTAAAAATACAATCAGATTGTAATCATTAAAAAAATGTTAGAAATGCAAAACTTAAATTACAATAAATAAAGCTTAAACACCAGCTTTTTTAGTATCACTTATATCTATAGTGCTTTAAATGCTTGTCATGAATAGCTAAGTTACTGCTTCAGGCAGTCTCGCGACCTTTGCCCTCCGTCTTAATAGAGTGTGCGAGCCACAGAGCCAATACTATACCTGCGATCTGAAAAACCAGGACAATTTATTGAAACAATAATATTTACTTAGTTAATTTTAATTTTTGTCCATGTGCTTATTACTAGCTTACGCCCGCGACGCCGTGTGCGTCAATTAAAAAATAATATAAAACAGAGCCTATGTTTACTGACAACGTATCTTTTTAATGGTGAAAGAAGTTTTGAAATCGGCCCAGTAGTTTTTGAGTTCTTACAACTACAATAAAGTTTTCCTCTTCATAATAGTACTAGCTCTTGCTCGCGCCTTCGCCTGTGTTAAATATAATTAGCCTATGTTACTCACAGATAAAGCACCTTTCTAACGGTGAAAGAATTTTTAAAATTGGCCCAGTAGTTTTTGAGTTATTTCAATAAACACAAAAATCTAAATTTTTATAGTAATTCATATAAAAACAACTAACCTCTAAGAAGCAGAATAATATGCCGCAGACGATAACCGACAGTCCAGCGCTGTGCACGGTGCTCAGTACTTTGTCCTCGCATCCCTCTTTGTAGTACTTCTCCATAGAGAGGCAATCAGAGCGCTTGATCTCGTCCACTTCGTCCGAGTTGTCCGGCGGACAGCAGCTGAACGATGGCTTCAAGCGGGGCTCGGACGCACCGTAGTTCTCAGGCCCCGTCACACCGCAACATTCCAGCTGCAATTTAGTGTTTGGTTATAGTTAGTAATACTTAATCTTAACTTTCAATCCATATCTGTACTAATATAATAAAGCGTAACACACTACTTAGTTACGTAAGATGTCAGTAATCACACTTACGACACGCTTTAGGTTTTATATTGTCATGCTAACATTTAGGGAAAAGGCGTTAAGAGGGAAATAGACAAAAGCTAGAAGCTGTCAATCACACAAGCAAGGTTGCCATGGTAACGGTAATTGTTATCCAACGTCAAAGGTCTTCGTTGTCACTTGTGCAATTGAATTTTGGCATTTCAAATTGAGAATTTGGCAAATTTTGAAACAGTCCCAGTAGTTTTTAAGTTATTTCAATACACACGAAAATCCAAAAATACAAATTTTTCCTCTTTATAATATTAAGTTTAGATAATCTGTTCCATAAACATATAAGTATACTAACGCTGCTCTGCACACGGTCCCAGAACTCCCTGTAGACGGAGTCCTCCTCTCGAGTAGACTTGTTCTTAATGAAAGAAGCCCGAAGTTGCGTCTTCATGGTGCCTTCGATCTGCGGCCGCAGCGCCGCCGCCGCGATGCCCACAGACAGCTCCAGCAGGATGATGATTATAAGGAACCCTGCGAACTAATAGCAAAATTCTTGAGAAACCTTAGTTTCCGTAAGGATCCTTCATATATCATAAGAAAATTTGACATTTCGCCCGTGACAATGAGCAAAGGTCTTGTTTTAATTCTTATGGTGGAAAGTACCACAAACAGTTTTGTAAGTTGATTATCTAGAGTTTTATGTGCCTTATGATCATGGAATACATTCTATATAGGACGCTGACGTAATCTTAACATTGAGTTCGACGACATCGTCGTTATTGTGGCGTTCCCATTCAATAATGTGGGTCAGGGATGATGGATCGGTAAATGTCACGATACCGAAAAGGTATCGATGTTGTTATTTTTAAAAGCTTTCCTTGGACGTTCGTTAGTATTTTCTAATTGTCAAAAATCGTACGTTGTATCTATATTGAACAGTTTACTTATAGGTTTTTCTATTAAAGTGTAGAAAACAGCTCCGCAATCAAATAGAATTGATTTTTTCTGAGTAATTTCAAATAATATCTGTCAAATTGTCGGTATTAGAAATAATACAATAGAAATATCTAACGCAACCGTGTCTAGTCCCCGGTGACCCGCTTCATAAATACAGAAATAAACATGAACTCATAATGATAGAAATAGACGGTGCCCACTTGAAGTTGTTAAATGAAAGAAATCATTACACGTGCGTTTTTCTCTCTAATTCAACAGTCAATTATTATGCATTGTAGATTATTTAAATTACTCCTACTATAAAGCCTTAATTCGAAGACTACATAAGACGAACTCGCTAGAGCGCAAATTAATAGCAGCGTCCTTGTAAGCTGATGTTTGTATAGTTTCCTATTTGCAAAAAAAATCATAAAAGACTTGTAGTAATACATACTATGTAGAGCAGTTTAGGGCTTTCCTTCCAAGCTCCGAAGCAACCAAATGCAGCGACGATAATAATGAGAACTCCGATGGCGATGAGGACAGCGTCGGTCTCGTGGCCCGTCGTCTCCATGCCAGCGAAGCCCTGCAGCATGCCCAGGTCCACGCATGCTGTTGCTATTATCACGATACCGAAGATCTGAGGATAGAAAGGAGAGTGGTATAAGTAATGTACAAAAAAATATGCACTTTAGGCCAATTTTAGGGCCTTATCCTATCCACCCTTTTCTTAAGAGGAAAGGATGGGAAGGAGAAATATCCTCTTTATGTGCTCCTCATCCTAATTAAGAGTAGGCAACGCATCTGCAATTGCGGATGTCTATACCGCTTGATCGTTTCCCACCGTATAACATTAAAAAAACTGACTCCCTATATTTCCTGAATTTGACTAGTTTGGAGTGCATACTCATCATCCACTTGCCCTTATCCCTTATGGAGGGTCGGCACAGTATGTGCTGCTCTTCCATACATCTCTATCAGCCGTCATATCTGAATCCACTCCTTTCTTAAGCATATCTTCTTTCACACAATCCATCCACACTTTCTTCGGTCTTCCTCTTCCTTTGTAGCCATCCACATTCAATCTCAACACTTGGAGTGCATACTATGCTTCATAATTCTTTCCATGGAAATAAGTCTATCTGGAGACTATGTAGTAGTTAGTCAAACTGACATATTATCCAGTTAATCTTTTGTAGATAATTAATTCAGTAAATGACTGTTGTCCCACGTAGTTTCTGATACTTATGCATTAGATATCATAAGATATGTTTGTGAACTTAAAAAACAGTGTTCATTAAATTATTTATTATTGACGTATCGATTTCGCTAAGCAATATCTAAATTCAATTCCTCAATCATCTTGTATAAAAAATAACCTTGAACTGTGTGAATTAATTTCATCTCATTGTTAATAAGTCTTTCATATTACACCCACGCGTATTTAGTTACTCTATTGTAGATTGTAAGCTTTATTGCTTAGGCAATAAGTGTTAATTTGCAATTAGAAATAGAATGGGCACAGTCTTTTTAAAAACAGTGAGCGGTTATTTGAGTATACACAATCGGTACACATGGCTAATCAAACGGATATTTCGTAAATGATTCACGTGTGATTTCTTTTACATTTGCATGTTTTAATGCGTTTTAAAATATACAGCTAAAACATCATCAATTTTATTTATATAACAAGAAATTTGTTATAGTCTTACACATTTTATTAGTTAACTACTTTTTTTTAAATATTAGTAGATTTTTGTTAATTTAATAATACTTCCTTTAACCATTCCAACTAAGCTCTAGGCTTGTTGCTACGATATGGTTCACGACAATAGTCGATTAGCGGGATTCGAACCCTCGACCGCAAGATCGGTAGTCCGTACCCCAAACTATTAGGCTATTGACGCTTGAAGACTTTAGATTTATTGACTTGTTTTGAGGTTATGTTACAAGTAATTACGTATTAAAATTATTATAAACTGTTTTAAGTTACTAAGAGAGTTACCGCTAAATTTTCTTTCTGCTAAAGTAATGTACATAAGATATTTTAATTTCTTTATTATATTTGTATTCTTCCTAATGTCCAGTCTGCTTTGTTATATGTACATAATCTTTGACATCGCGTGAAAAAATAGGTCGGATTACCATAACAGAGACGAGTGACGTCACGCCATGGGCCGTAAAGTGGACTAGTTGATGGAAGTCCGGCTGTTTTGTGTAGATGTGTAATGATGAAATAAATTTATTTAACTATAGCTAAATGTTTTATTAATAAACATGAAGATTTTCTTAATCAAAAACCTACTTTAGGATTTGGCACTATTTATTTTTTGAGGAAGTTTAAGAGTTGTAACCTAAACGGCGCAACGGAAATTCGGTAGAGATGTACATAGATGGTATTCTGGAAGAACACGTAAGTTACTTACTCTTTGTTTTAATAACACACGGACGGAACAGCTCGCGAAATCTAGTTTTCTGTAAATATACCTAAACAGTGAAGTGACCAATATTAATTATTCGAGTTTCGAGTTTATTTTTCAATAAATAATGACACAAGTTTCTTGTTTTTTATTTATATTTTATTTTGAGTAAAGTTTATTCGTATTATTTAATGCCGTGCAAAAAATAGGTCAAGTGCAGACGCGATATTGAACACGTATCTTGGTCAATACATCGTATACCGGTACGTACTTAAATGGTGGTTGTACAGGGTCAGCCGTACTGAGACCAAATATATCAGGATCATTATATTTATACGTCCATTGTACAGACACCATGACTACTAGCTTTCGCCAGTGACTCTGTCGGAGCGTAATTAAAATATCTCAAGTAATAAATGTGTTCCTCCAGACTGTTCTGCATCTATGCCAAATATCATCCACATCCGTTTAACACCTTAGACTACAAACTCTAACACACATCCATCCAATCTTTCGTATTTATATTAGTAAGATGAATAAAAATTAGCTTAAATTCGTAAAATCTATACTAATATAATAAATCGTAAACACACACTTCTTTGTTGACTAAGATCTCAGCAATCGCATCATATTTTCGAATAACTATTTTTATAATAAAAAGTCCAACACTTACGTCACGCTTTAGGCTATATATTTTCACGCCATTAAACTTAGGGGGTAAACATTTTGGATTAATATTCTAATCTGGGAAAGATAGCATAAGTTGATATTTGCAATTGAATTTGACAAATGTAATGAATACAACAATTTTTATAATAACATGCGAATGAAGTCGCACGCGAACAGCTAGTAAGCAGTATAATATCAAATTTATATTTGTAAGTATTTAAAGGCCTTTGACGACTGTTCTTGATACAAAACATTAAATCCATATTAAATTTTAAACCAATGGCGGTAAAAGTAATCGACTTTGAGTTTTAATAATCTCCTGCAGACTTGAATTGAAGAATAGACACTTATTTAATTCCTTCTAAGTATTTTAAAGTTGTATTTAGCAATTTAACACCATTAAGATAATTGGTGACGTCATTTTCGGGCTCGCATAAAAAAACTAGTGAATAGGGCGCAACGTTTAACCTCATTGATCAAACGAGTGCATATTCCACAGGTGCATACAAAACTACACAATGACTTAGTCCAATTACAGCGAGTGAGCAGCCGTGACAATGCGCACAATTTACCTTGACTTGATGACAGATGACGTCATAATGACATCACTCTCCCTATTGATCCGTCATTGAGTCAGTAGCAAATAGACATTAATAAAGCCGAGTTTCAACACGATTTTATACAAGACACAATGGCAATGAATTTGTTAGAATCAAAAAATATTGTTACTCTTTGCAGCCAAAGATTTTCTACAACAGTTATATACACAATTTGAGCTAAAACTCATCATCCGATATGGTCTAGTGGCTAGGATACCTGGCTCTCACCCAGGAGGCTCGGGTTCGATTCCCGGTATCGGAAAAACTTTTTGTAGGTTTTGAAATCTGAATAATTCTTTTAACTTTCATTAGACGGACGAAAATCTTACTAATATTAAAATTGCGAAAATTTAGATGGATGGATGGATGTTAGAGTTTCTAGCCTAAACGGCTAAACGGCTCTCGATGAAATTTGTCATAGATGTAGAGGATAGTCTGGAAGAACACATAGGCTTCTTATTTTTGTTTTATTTAATTCCACGTGGACGGAATAGCGGGCGAAAGTTAGTATAAAAATAGTACTTTATTGCTTTATTATAATGTAGTAGAAAACATTGAAACATAGATTGGTTTCGACGACGTGCGTGTCTCTAGGTCAATTATTTCCATAATTAAAAGTCACCGGGGAATTTAATTAAATTAAAAACATAAAAGCTAGGTTAGCTTTCAACATCAAATTGCCTATGCTGAAACAGGTAATGCAGTACTATAAATTCACAACTACCCTCGATATGAAAGCCCGATAACGTGCCCATGTTTCTTATAAGAAAATTGTAGTTCGTTTATAAACTTTATAGAGGTCGCTAGAGTCACCTTTAGTATTTCGTAGGTCACACGACAATTTTACAATTAATCTAATGATATTAAACGTTGAGTTAAAGCTTTAATTATTTTTCACTACGCCATCTCAATTTTGAACAATGCCAAAAATTTTCCACGTGAAAAAGGGGAAAATGCTCTTTTATATGGTATTTATAAATTGTCTACTTAATAAATAACTATTTGCATAAACGCATATGATGTTTTCAAGATTGCATATACACAGAAGCAATCAACTTGAAGTAAAAAATCGACTGTCAAAGAAAGTTCTTTTACGAAATGTAAATATTAATAACAAATGAATAGTGATTTTTGTAAAGCACAGGGCGCGTTATAGTTTTGTAACTAGTCCGGGGTCAGGTAGTGAGGTGGGTTAGTAGCAAAATCGATTGTACGAATTTTAGTCTAGAAGTGGGTGCCTAAAAGTACTCAAGACATAAATATTAAAGTGGTTAATGCTACAGTTCAAAGCGTACTTCTGCAAATAAAATTAAATCTGGAAAGAGACTAACCTAACAATATCTTCGATATGAAAAAGCGTAACATTGTTTTATATGCTCATTTTTGACTGAGATGATATCAAAATTACAGTATTTTCAATAGGAGAGTTAACAATTATCTCATATAGTTAACATTTAAAGCTTATTTCAGTGACTGTTTACATACAGAGTCTCTGATACATTGAAAGGACTCTAATTTTCAACAATTGATTGATGGTTTTATAGCGAGTGTTATCATGAGGTAGCAATCAATAGACAATGGCGGCTAGGGTGTAATTGCCGACAGGGTAATCTATAAAAGTTCATCTTTATATCGAAAAATAGATCGATGACCCAGTTAGAACACGGAAGCTAAGACATTAATGTTTTCATGTCATTATTTATTCAAAAATATTGGAAATAAATCAACTTAAATATTTATAACTACGATTAGATATGGTTTAACTGTTCGTCGTTGTCACCTTATATCTTATTTCTTACTAAATTTATAAATGCAAAAGTTTAGATGTATGGATGTTTGTTAGAGTTTGTAGCCTAAACGACTGAACGGATTCCGATGAAATTTGGCATAGATGTAGAGGATAGTCTGTAAGAACACATAAGTTACTCGCTTTTGTTTTGTTTTTTAATTCC